TGTTGTTTTCAACATAAAAGTCTTTTATATTCTTCATTAGGTTGATTCCTAGGTCTTTCATGTTTTCGGATGCTAGTGTGAAAAGTGGTGTTTCCCAAAGTTTTCTCTCAATTTGTTTTTAATGTACAGGAAGGCTAATGACTATTGATTTTTGAAGGCTATTGTATTGAGCTATGCTACTGATTTGGTTGTTAAATCTAAAAGTCTTTTGGTGGAGTCTTTGGGGGTATTCATGGCATCCTCAAATAATAATTTAACTTCTTTTCCTATCATTATTCCTTTTATTTTTTTCTCCTCTCTAATTGCTCTGGTTAATGTTTCCAGAATTATGTTGAATAGCGTGGTAACAATGGACATCATTGTGTTATTCCTGATTTTACAGTGCAAGCTTTCAATTTTTGTCCATTTAGTATGATGTTGGCTGTTGGTTTTCATCAGATGGCTTTTATCAGATTGAGACAAAGATCATCTATTTCAATTTTCTGTAGGTTGTTTTTTTTTTTTATCATGAATGGGTGTTGGACTTTGTAAATGCTTTTTCTGCATGTATTGAGATGATCACATGGTTTGTGTCCTTGCCTTTGTTAATACGGAGTATTACATTTATTGATTTGTATATGCTGCACCATCCCTGAAATGAATTCTACTCCATCATGGTGTATAATATTGATGATTTGCTGCATTCTGTTTGTTATCTTATTAAGGATTTCTGTGTCTATTAAAAAAGAGAGATTGGCCTATAGTTGTCTCTTTTTGATTGGTTCCTTCTCTGATTTTGGTATTAGAGTAATGCTTCCAGGAATGAATTTGGGAGTATTGCTTTCAATTTCATTAAAGAGTTTGAGAAGTAGTGACATTAGATCTCCAAATTTCTTGTAGAATTTAGCAGTGAATCCATCAGGCCTGGGCTTTTCTTTATTGGTAGATTTTTAATTAATCTTCAATTTCATTGACTGATACTAGTTTATTTTGAATTTTTATATCTTCTTGATTTAACTTTGGTAATTCATATGTATCTGGGAATCTTTCCATTTCTTCTGTGTGTTCCATCTTATTAGAATATATGTTCTCAAAGTAAGTATTGATTACCTTCTGGATTTCTGTAGAATCTATTATGATTTCACCCTTTTAATTCCTAATACCTTTCTCTTTTTTGATACAGTTGGTTAAAAGTTTGTCAATTTATTTAATCTTTTAAAGAACCAACTCTTCAATTGTTTAATTTTTTTTTTTTGAGACAGAGTTTTACCATACAGTTCACAGTACCCTTGAATTCACTGTAGCCCAGACTGGCCTCAAACTTCCAGGGGTCCTCCTGCTTCAGCCTTCTGAGTGCTAGCATAGGCCACCACACCCAGCAATTCATTGATTGTCTTGTTTCCTTTGCATTCTCCATTGCATTAATTTTTCCTCTGATCTTTATAATTTCTTCCCTTACATGAATTTTGGGCTTGACTTTCTCTTCTTTTTCTAGAACCTTGAGGTTCAACATTAAGTTTTTTATTTGAGCTCACTCTGGTTTTCTAACATGGGACTTCACTGTTCTAAATTTCTTTTATTAGACTGCTTTCACTGCATCCCATAAGTTATGGTGTACTGTATTGGCATTATCATTTAATTGTAGAAGCTGTCTATTTTTTTCTTTAAATTTCATCTGTGAAATTAAGTCATACCTCCTCTGTATTCAGGAGTGTATTATTTAATTTCCATGTGTTTATGAAGTTCTTATGTTTTCTTTGGGCATTGATTTCCAATTTCATTGCACTATGATCTGATAATATGTATGGAATAATTCCTTTTTTCTTTTCTTTTCTTTTCTTTTTTTTTTTTTTTTTTTGTCTTTTTGAGGTAGGATCTTGCTATGTGGTTCAGGCTAGCCTTGGGCTCACTTTGTAGCCCAGGCTGGTCTCAAACTTGCAATGATCCTCCTATCTCAGCCTCCCAAGTGCTGGGATTACAGGAGTGCACCACCAAACCTGGCATGTATGGGATAATTTCTATTCCTTTGCATTTAAGCATATTCTATGAGCTAGTATGTGTTCTGCTTTGGAGAACATCCCATGTGCAGGTGAGAAGAATATGTATTCTGATGTGGGCTAGAACACTGCAGACTTCTACTAAATCCATTTGTTCAAAAGTTTGATTCAGTTCTGGTATTTCTTCGTTGAATTTTTTTTGTCTAGTCAATCAGTATATTGGTGACAGTGGGATACTGAGGTCCCATATTATAAATGTATTGTGCTTATTTTTCATGTCCATTAATATTTATTTTATATAGTTGGGTGAGCTGGTATTTGGTGCATCTATATTTATAATTGTTATCTCTTCCTCTTGGATTGTTCCCTTTACAAGAATATAGTGATCCCTTGTTCTACTCTTTCCCCCTTCTCACTACTGCACTTGACTATTCTTTAAAAAAAAAAAAAAAAAAAAAAATATATATATATATATATATATATATATATATATATAGTGCTCTTCTTTGTCTTCAGTCTTGGCTTGAAATCTACTTTGTCTGCAAATAGAATAACTACTCTTGCTTTTTTCTGGGTTTCTGTCACATAGAGTGTTGTTTCCATCCTTTGACTTTCAAAAGTCTGTGAAATTCTTTTTGAATTTAAATTGTTTTTTGTATACAGCATATTATTGGATTTGCTTCTTGATCCATTCTGCCAGTCTGTTTCTTTTGATTGGTGAATTGAGACCATTAATATTGATGGTTATAACTGATGTATATTGATTTAAGGATTATTTTTCTTGTTGTTGGCCCCCCCCATTTTAATTGCTTGCTTTGCCTAGTGGATTCATTCTGATGGAGTTCATGGAGTTATAGTCCTTGTGGTCTCTTTTTAGAATGTCCATCAGAACATTTTGGACTGTTGATTTGGTGGTCATGATTTTCTTCAGCTGTTAGCATGAAAGCATCTTATTTCTCCATCAGTTTTGAAAGACAGTTTGTGGGGTACATCAATCTGGATTAGGGGCTGGGGATTTTGCTCAGCAGCATAAGTACCTTCCTGGCAAGCAGGCAGTCGTGAGTTCGATCCCTGGTACCGATAAAAAAAAAAATCTGGATTAGAGGTTGTTTTCTTTCTTTTTTCTCTTTATCAGTAGCGGGGATCCAACTCACGACTGCCTACTTGCAAGGCAGGCGCTTATGCCACTGAGCTAAATCCCCAGCCCCAGAGGTTGTTTTCTTGTAGGGCTTGAAATACTTTATTCCAAGCTCTTCTTGATTTGAGGGTTTGCGTTGGGAAGTTTGCTATGATTCTAATGGACTTTCCTTTATAGGTTTTTAGGTTTCTTTTCTTTAAGTTTTTAATATGTCCTTGTGTTGAATGTCTGGAATCTTTTGACTATTACATACATTCACATTCTGCCTCTTACCAGTTGTGTGGCCTTGGACAAACCACACAACATCTCTGAGGCCCAACTGCTCTCTGAGTAAAGGCAGAGTATCATAACTGCTACCCCATACTGTTAAGGACTAAGGGAGAACCACACATGCAGTCCTTATGCACTGCCTGACAAGGTCAAGAAATATTGTGGATAGGTGAGGTGTGGCACTTGGGAGGGTAAGACAGGAGAACTGCTGCGAGTTCAAGGCCAGCTGGGCTGCATAATGAGTTCAAGGCCAATCTGGAATACAATAATGAGACCATGCTTCAATACAAACCAAAAAAGAAAGAATTTCTGATATTGCTGATGGAACCAAAGTGCTCAGTCACCACCAGGCACCCTTACCCAGCTAAGCCTGTGCTACATATGCAAGATTATCCCCACTTGAAGATGAGAACACTGAGTCCCTAGACGTTGCTTGGCCCATTAAATGTCAAAGCTCATACTCTTGGATGACAGCCACAATGGAATCTCTATCTCAGGCCACACAGGCAGCAAGGTGGCAGGTCGTGTGGGGTGGCTGCACCTTGTGCCAGGAGCCTGGGCAGTGACGGGGAGAGCCCACCGCAGCCTTACTCAGTTTGGGAAGGTAGTGTGAATTGGACTGGAGGGCCAGGGATAAAGCATTTCCCCTCTCAGAGCCTCTGCAGAGGTAGACAGAGGTGGGTCTGCAGGAAGGATTCCAAAGCTGCCAGGCGCCTCAACATCTTCTCCCAACCAAGCATGTTTTTGGAGACAGTGGGGGTTGAGGAGAGTCTGAAGGTGGGGTGTCAGAGGAAGAATCATAAGGACAGGACAGCTTGTGCCGCCCAGCCCTGTAGGATGGGGAATAGCCCCACTTAAGGCAGAAGGAAAGTGAGTTTTGCTTCAGATTAGAAAGGGAGAGATGCTCAGGTCCTGCCTCCAGAGTTAGAACTGGAATCCACTGCTGATACACTAGAAGAGATGGTGAGAGCCTCGTGTCTGGGGGTGCACCTGAGTGTGTGTTCTTGAGAACACTGCATGTGGGTGGCCTTGATGGACACAGTGGATCCTGTAGACATCACACCCGCTTTGGCTGCTGGCACCTTTGCTCCAGGCTGCTCCCTTCTAGGCATGTACAGAGATCCTCGCCCAGGAGTGCTTTGAGGGTCAGGCGTTCCTTGCTGGAACAGTAACTGCAGGGCTGGGTGTGGGGAGAGCTCAAGCTCTAGCAAACAGCAGGAATTCGGACCTCGCCCCGCCTGGCAATCTGGCACCCCACCCCCAGGGCGGTTCTAGTACCAGGCTCTGCCTGCACCTCCCCTTCCCTGCCCCTGCCCTTCCTTCCATCTGTTTTTCTCTCTTTTCCGTCATGGGGTCTGTCTTCTGACAGTCCTTGTCCCTTGGCCCCTGACCCTGTCAGGACTTGGTCCGTGTCTCTGCAGATTCCTGCTGTCCGGTAGACTGTCTCTCCCTGACCAGCTCCGGCACCACCTGCCATCCAAGTGCCATCCCTTCTACCCCTGCTGCTTATGCTGGCCAGGAACAAGGAGGCGGGGCCGGGCGGCTAGCCTGACGCCGCCCCGCCCTTCACTGAGCACGCATCAGGCTGGCAAGCTATATAAGGTGATGTTGTGCTAGGCTGGAGCTGTGCTGCCGCAGCCTGCACGCCCGCTCACACAGATCCCTTCAGAGCCAACGCTGCCCGAGCTGCCCGCAGGTACCCCGGCTCCGGCCCTGCCCCGGGGGAGCCAGGGAGGGGGGCTGCGGGGCAGGGGCGGCGGGACAGGGACCCTGAGCCCCTGTGCCCACAGCGGGATCCTCTATACTAACCCAGTGCGCTCAGAGATCCCGGGCGTCCTCCGTAGAAAGGGCTGAGCCAGGGCAACTGGAGATAAAGAAACCCGGGTGCGTGATGCTTGGGGTCTGTAAAGGAAGTCCCTCTTTCTCTGCGGGGTGGGGCGGGGATGGAAATAATGGTCATCTCCCAGTGGGGACAGGACTGAGGAGGAGTGTAGGGTGTCACCATCCCAAAGCCTTAGGGGCTGGAAGGTAAGGAAGGGACCTGGCTGGCCCTGATTTCTGGCTTTGTTTCTGACCCCCAGACTTTCCACCTGCAAGATGGTGAGTCCCCTGTGGCCCCTCCGCCAACGGCCCAAGTCCCTGGGTAGAGGGAGGGCCCAGAAGGCAATAACTGGCATCCAGAGGCTTAGCCCTGAGGACTGCCCTAAGTGGACGGCTCAGAACTGTGACCAGCTCCAACCTCTTGACCCTCGCTCCATGTGCCAGGCCCTCATCTGTCCCGTCAACCCTGGAAAGCGGGCACTGTCAGCCCCTTGGCAGTCATTACACATCTGCTAAGTGCCAGCTGTGCAGCTTGCACCATTGTAGGTTTGAGGACGCAGCAGTGAGCCTGCAGCTCTGGCCATCAGGGAATCCCCTTCTAGGAGAGGCACAGAGCCCCAGAGCTTGCCCTGGCCAGCTGGGATCTAAGCCCAGGTCCGAGGCCCAGAGGAGTGCTTGTGTCCTGGCCACACCATGCTGTTAATCAAGTCCCTGGCCTCATGGGCACCCCAAGGGTGGGACAGGGCAGAAACCAGGCCTTCTCCAAGCCAGGGAACTGCAAGGAGTAAGTGTCCCCACCTGGGTCACACTGAGGCATCCAGTAGCCCTATGTAGGAGGCAGCCAGCCTCTGAGAGGGCAGGAGTATAGGATTTCCTGCAGTCCCAGGATTCCAGGCACCTGGAAAGAGGGCACAAGCCTTCTCCTCCAGCGCCTTACCCAGGGCTGGTGCATAGCAGGTCTCCAGTGCCTACTTGAGAACAGTGAAAGACATTCATTTACAGTGTTAGGTGGTAGCAAACTCCAAGTTGCCAGATGGGGCGCTGAACCCAGAGAGAAACGAATGCCTGTAAGTGGTTGTTATGCTCATTCGTCAATTCTTCAGTCAGCAAATATTTATGGAGGATTTACTGTGTGTCAGGTACCGTCTGGAGTACTGTTTGGGCTTGCTTCAGTGAACAAAACAGAGAAAAAGCTCTGCCCCTGTGAACCAAGGTGGGCTAGCCCTGGTGCAGGATGCTTAGTTCCTGATCCACCCGGCAGGCCATTGGTTCCCGCTCTCCCAGCCAGGCACCACACCTGACAGTTTACAAAGCACTCTTCCCACACCGGTCCCTTGGTCTCTCGCCTCTGCCCCAACTCTTTCCTGTTCAGGGCCCTTGAACATTACAACTCACACTATTGGTTAACTTCATGTACTCCTCTGCCCACCCTGCCCAAGTCCTACCACTTCTGCCCACCTCCCCTCCAGCTTTCCCTGGATCCACTGGGTCCTGAGTGGGACCGCCCCTTGGGCTCCAAGGACCTGGATGGAGAGGAGAGCCCAGAGAGAGAGGGCTCTGGCCTGCCGCCCATCAGCTGCTTCCCTGGCTCCTGGCGCCAGGATGTGGGCCTGGACTGCAAAGGCTCCCCTGAGGGGGCCGAGGCGAGGGCCTGGACTGTCTACTACTACAGCCTCCTGCAGAGCTGTCTGCAGCAAGCTGGGCTCCCGGAGACTCAAGACCGAAGCCAGGTGCCCCACACAGGTGCCCAAGGGCTCCATGGAGGGGGGTATCCCTGGGGGTCAGAGAAGGATCTTCAGTCCAGTTGCTCCCCGTCCTTGCAGAGGTTGGCCCCTTCCCTAGGCTCTAGTTCCATCTGAAGACAAAGGACATCTGGTGTCAGTGAAGTCAGAGGTCAGGGGTCTCCACCCCCTACCCCCATATACTACCTGAGATTTGCAAACTATGTTCTGTAGAGCCAGAGCTTCTCAAGAAATGTCTTGGGAGAGGCTGTGGAGGCAACTAAACACTGGGACCCCAAAATTCCTCTCCTACTTTATGTTTTATTGTGTAGCCACAAATGATTTTGTGTACACAGTAGGTTCACATCTAGAATACATAAGAAGCAGAGACTCGCTCCCATGGTACAGTCTGGGAAACAGCTCACAGAAATGGTGGCCCTTCCAAGGTCACAGAGAATTCAGAGCCCAGGCTAGAGCCAGGTCTCCATCACCCAGCCCAACCAGCTGCAGAGAAAGGGAGCAGCCTCATGGGGCCTAGGAGGCAGACAGCTCCTCTTGCCCCCTGTACTCTTCTAGTCTGATCACTGAGAAGGACCTGGGGGCCCAAGGATGAGAGTGGGGGTTGGAGGTGGTGGGCAGAGAGGTAGCAAGGGGAGCCCCTGGTGAGCTTGGCAATGTCTCTTCCCCCGAGGTTGCCCTGGTGCCGAGGTGACCTTGTGCATTCTGGGATCCCCCAGCACCTTTCTGTCTGTGTTGCTGGAGGGTGGGGTCCAGAGCCCGGGTGAGTGTGTGCCCAAATTCTCCACCCTGCTAAGGAAAGGGCAGCCCCGCCCTTTGGCCCAGCCACATCCCAAAATACCCACCAGCCTTGGCAACTGCCTGCATTCCACGGGACCAGCTGCCCCACTCTCAACAGGGGTGGGTTCTGGGAAGAACTGTCTCCTCTGCAGCATAAAGGCCAGGCTGGAGGTGTTGGGCGCTGGGGACATAAGCCTTCCCTGGCCAGCCACCTGCCCCCCTCTGCCTACAGGAAACATGCTCCTCTGCCTGTCCCCAGCCTGGCTGATGAAGGTGCCAGCATCAGGGCAGCTGGGTGAGGCGGCCCTGCTGGTCTCCAAGGCTGTGAGCTTCTACCCAGGGGGCCTGACATTCCTGGATGACTTTGTCCCCCCACGACGTGCCACCTACTTCCTGGCAGGCCTGGGGCTGGGTGCTGGCAGGGGCCGGGAGGCAGCAGAGCTGGCCCGCAATCTGACTTGCCCCACAGGAGCCTCAGTGGAGCTGGCCCGGCTGCTGGAGGACCGGCTGCTGATGAGGCAGTTGCTGTCCCAGCAGGGCTGTGTGGCCGTGCCAGCTACCCTGGCTTTCACCTACAAGCCTCCAGGGCTGCTGCAGGGAGGGGACGCCAGCCCAGGACTACGGCTGGTGGAGCTGAGTGGCAAAGAGGGCCAGGAAACACTGGTGACAGAGGAAGTAGGGGCCTTTCTGCAGTCCGAGGCTCTAGGTGATGCCGTGCAGGTAATAGGCTCCTGCCCACCCTGAGGTCTGTGTAGGTGCCAGCAGGAGGGGACCCATGAGTGGTTCCCAAGTCCTAATGGGAAGCTGTCCCTAACGTTTAGCTCTGCCACTGCCCCAGAGATGGGGCAACACCCTGTCCTCTTACCTGTTTAGTCTCGGCCTCAGTGGCATAAATATCCCACCTAGCAGGTACATGGGGTGGTGTCGAGGAGGCCCTTTTCCCCTTCCTGCTGTAGGTGGCTGTGAAGCCCAGTGGCTGGCGCTGGCGGGGGCGGCAGGCTTTGTGTCTGCACCCACGGGTGGAGCTGGATGCTGTGGTGGACACAGTGCTGGCACTGCTGGAGAAGCTGGAGGAAGAGGAGAGTGTCCTGGTGGAGGCTATGTGTCCACCTGCCCAGCTGCCCTTCCCAGGTGAGAGGCACCTGTACCAGTTAGAGGTGGGAGCATGGCATGGCTTCTTGGACTTTCTGCTGGATTTAGACCTCTACCTCTTCACCCAGGAGGTCCCTCACCCAGCCGAGAAATGGCTGTGCGCATCTGTACTGTGGTGTGTCGAACTCAGGGTGATAGGCCCCTACTGAGCAAGGTGAGTGGGGTGGAGGTGGGGGCACAGATACGGGTAACCCTATCCCTCATACGCAAGCCCAGTCCCACTGATCTGATGAGGGCCCTGCCCAGTCTCTGGGTAGACAGGAAAACATTTTTTTGGAAATTCTGGTTACCAATGCCCTGAGTGTGACACTCCATCTTGAGTCCTCCTGCACCAGAAGCCCTTGCCTGCCCCTGTGTAGAGCCCCATGTTGGGGCCCAGGAGGAGGGGGGCTGTTTTCTCAGAGAGCTCCTACTCACAGAAGAGGCTGACCTGGGATTCTGATAAATCTCCAAGGCCTGAAGCCCTGGGGGGAGGGGGTACCTCCAAGCTACAGAGCTCAGTCTCTGGGTCAAGCTAGAGAGAAGCATTCAACTAAGCTAGTGCCCCAGTGGAGGAGAAGCTTCTGGGGGACATGCTAGAACACAGCAGGGTGACTGCAGCAGATAGAGCAAGCAGGGAGCAGGGACTCTAGCTGACCCTCGGTAGGGTAGGGTAGGGTCCGAGGCCTGGAGTGTCATGTTGGAGAATGGAGTTTCCTGAATACCCACTGGTTCTTGGGAGGTGTGCCTGAGGCAGGGGGACTTCAAAGAGGAAGTCCCTTGGGACACTCCTCGCAGTCTAGCCCCTTGAGTCACAGCAACCTGTCTAGGTGGTGTGCGGAGTAGGTCGTGAGGATCGGCCTCCGCGGCACCAGAACTCCCTGCCGAGGACTCTGGAGGTGGCGCTGGCCCAGTGTGGCCTGAGTGAAGCAGCACAGGTAGCAGCTGTGAGGCAGCGCGTCAAGGAGGCAGCTGAGGCCGTGCTGGCCGCGGTGCTGGCCTTGGAGGCTGGCCTGAGCGCCGAGCAGCGCGGTGGGCGCCGGGCTTGCACGGACTTCCTCGGTGAGCGCGGGCGTGCAGCAGGCGGGAGGGCTGAGCTGCTGGGGCCCAGACTGGGGCCGTCCGCGCTGAGCAGCATCCTCGCCTGGCCTAGGCGTGGACTTCGCGCTGACAGTGTCCGGGCGCGCGCTGACCCCAGTGGCTCTAGAGCTGAACAGCAGCCTGTGTTTGGAGGCGTGCGGCACGCTCGAGGGGCTGTGGGCCGCGCCTCGCCTGGGTTTGGCGGCCGAGGAGGCGGCGGCTGCGCCGCTGGTGGAGACCATGCTCCGGCGCTCAGCGCGTTACCTCATGGAAGGAAAGCAGCTGCTGCTGGTCGGCGCCGGCGGCGTCAGCAAGAAGTTCGTGTGGGAGGCGGCGCGAGACTACGGGCTCAAGGTGGGCGGCGCCAGGCCCTACTCCCGGCCTGAGTGGTCAAGGCGTGGGTAGGGGTGGAGCCTGGAACGAAGGGGGCGGGGTTGGCCTCTGGGTCGGAACTACAGTAGCTGCGCTAGGGATAGGGTGTTTTTGCCAGGGAGAGGCAGATTTTGATGCCTTGCTTTGGGTTACGTAATTAAATCCCTAATGATCCACCAGGGCTACATAAAGGTAGCCACTGATGAGGGAGGGAGGGAAGATGCCAGGTAGGTGGCCTGGGACAGGCAAGGAACAAGGGCAACATTTAGGGTTAGTTCCAGAACCCAAGTTGGTTTTGTTTTTGTAATAATGTTGACTTTGGGGTTTCACATTGAGCTACACCCACAGCCCATTCATTATTATTATTATTTAAATTTTTTACTATTATTTAAATTTTGAGACAAGGTAAATTGTCTATGCTGGGTTCAAATACTGCTTCAGCTTTCCCAGATGCTAGAATTATAAGTGTGCACCACCACTCCATTGGTTCGAGCCCAGTTTGTTTGTTTGTTTGTTTGTTTGGAGAGAGGATTGAGACAGGGTCTCTCTATGTTGTCCAAACTGGCCTTGAACTCTCTATGTAGCCAAGGCTGGCCTCAGAACATGTGGAGATCCTCCTGCCGTAGCCTCCTGAGTGCTGGGATCACAGGCATGCATCACCACCCCTGGCCATTTTCATGTTGATGTTTTTTTTAATGTTGGCAAAGCTTCACATTTATTATAGCTAGAAACAAAAACCAAAAGAGTAGGAAAATGGCCTCTGCAGAGCAAGTTTGGGCAGAGAAAAAATAAAAACAAAAAACACACGCTACCACATAAGGGTGGGCTATCATAAAGAGGCACAGTAGTTGAACTCAAGTTTTAAATGCTGGTCTAAAGGACTTTGCTCTGTTCTGAGCAAAGGACAGGCAGTCATTTTGAGGTTGCATTCCTGCCCTGGGCACCCAGGGCCCACAGAGAGTGCTGGGGAGCATATTAAAGATTCTCGATCAGGTTTACAACAGTGGGTTCCATTATAGAATCTGCAGCAAACCAGGTAAGTAGACATTTTTATTCCTATTGAACAGATAAGAAAATGGTTGGGTGTGGTGGCACAGGGCTATAATCCCAGAACTCTGGGAGCCTGAGGCAGGAGGATCACAATTCAAACCGACCCTGGAAATTTAGTGATTCAGCAAGACCATGTCCCTAAATAGAAAAGGGCTGGGGATGTAGCTCAGTGCAGAGGGCCTCGGTTCAATCCCCAGTACTGAAAAAATAAAACCAAAACCAAAATCTGGGACCTTTTCATGCTAGCCCTAGCCTGCCAATGGCCTCCTCTGCACTCCGCAGTGGCACCCCCCTTCCTGGAAGGCCCCCATAGCCTTCTCCTGCCTGCTTGCTCCACATCACATGGTGTTTTCTCTAGCTGGAATGCTGCTTGCTCTGACACCAAGGGTTACTGTGCAGATAGCCGCCTCTCTTCCCATCAGTGGCTGCCTCTGCCCTGAGTCTCAGCTGTTTTGTGTGTGTGTGTCATCACCATGGGCCACAAGGTTTGAGAATACAGAACCCGCAGGAAACTTACGTGGTACCTTTGGTGTCAATGGAGACCAAACTGCCTGTCCCGAATCCCAACCCTGTTGGCTCCTTGCAAGTCCTGCAGTGTGGCTGCCTGTGGGAATGCACTGCTGAGCTCTCACACATACACTCCTTGCCCTTTCCCTCTGCAGCTATCTTTCGAAACTGCCTCTTTTTGACTGATACTTATTCTTCAGATCCAGTTTAGCTTTGTCTCCTTCAGGATGCTTCCCTTTCCTACCCCCAAGCTGGGATAGGTCTCCCATTTAATCAGTCATCAACATTCAACAAGGCTAAGTGGCATGCACCTATAATCCCAGCACTGGGGAGATTGAGGCAGGAGGATCTCAAAGTTTAAGGCCAGCCTGGGCTGCATAGTGAGTTCAAGGCCAGCCTTCTTTATAAAGTGAGAGCCTGTCTAAAAAAAAATTACCAAAAAGCTAGTATTTATCAATCCATCTCCCTTGAGGGCTGGAACCACATCCTAAGGTGCATCCAGTCTCCTCTGCACCTAGCAGACGCTGATCAGGGTGTCCTGTCCTCCTGTGGTTTCTGCAGCTGCACCTGGTAGAGTCCGACCCCAACCACTTTGCGTCTCAGCTGGTGCAGACTTTTATCCACTTTGATGTGACAGACCACCGGAGGGATGAGGAGAATGCGCGCCTGCTGGCAGAGCTGGTGCGAGCACGTGGTCTGCAGCTAGATGGCTGTTTCTCCTACTGGGATGACTGCCTGGTGCTCACAGCCCTACTCTGCCGGGAGCTGGGTTTGCCCTGCTGCCCTCCAGCTGCCATGTGCCTGGCTAAGCAGAAAAGCCGCACTCAGCTGCACCTGTCTCGCCATCACGGCCCGCCGTGGCCTGCGCCCTCCCTCCATGCTGTGGCCTGCTGCCCTCTGGAAAGCGAGGCAGATGTGGAGAGGGCTGTTCATCAGGTGCCCCTGCCAGGTGTGATGAAGCTGGAGTTTGGTGCAGGTGCAGTAGGCGTGCAGCTGGTGGAGGATGCCTCACAGTGCCATGAGCACTTTTCCCGAATCACCCGTGACTTGCAGGGCGAGGCTGACCATCCAGGCATTGGGCTGGGCTGGGGCAATGCCATGCTGCTGATGGAGTTTGTTGAGGGGACAGAGCATGATGTGGACCTGGTGGTGTTTGGTGGGCGGCTGCTGGCCGCATTTGTCTCTGACAATGGCCCCACAAGGCTGCCTGGCTTCACAGAGACAGCAGCCTGTATGCCCACAGGGCTGGCACCGGAGCAGGAGGCACAGATGGTACAGGCAGCCTTCCGCTGCTGTCTGGGTTGCGGGCTGCTTGATGGCGTCTTCAATGTGGAGCTCAAGCTGACTGGAGCTGGGCCTCGGCTCATTGAGATCAACCCCCGCATGGGTGGTTTCTACCTGCGCGACTGGATCCTGGAGCTCTATGGTGTGGATCTGCTGCTGGCTGCTGCAATGGTGGCCTGTGGTCTGCGACCTGCCCTGCCCACCCATCCCCATGCCCGTGGTCACCTGGTGGGCGTCATGTGCCTGGTGTCTCAGCACCTGCAGGCATTGAGTTCCACAGCAAGCCGAGAGACCCTGCAGGCTCTGCATGACCAGGGCCTACTGCGCCTCAATATGCTGGAGGAGGCCCTGGTGCCTGGCGAGTATGAGGAGCCCTACTGCAGTGTGGCCTGTGCTGGGTCCAGCCCCGCTGAGGCCCGCCTTCGCCTGCTGGGCCTCTGCCAGGGCCTGGGTATTGACGGGCCCAACTACCCAGTTGCTCACTTCCTATCTCATTTCAAATAGCACTGGAGCCAGGGGGCAGGGATGAAGTGCTAAAGGGAGGGGTTGTAGTGCCCTCTACTTGCTGGTGTCCTCTCTGTCTCTCTCCCTGTCACCCCACTTTAACCCCAGCCTGGCCCACTCCCATGCCTCAGGTTTGCTCCAGAGCAGTAGGGCCATGTTAACACCAAATCCTCCTGGGCTAAAGGGCCTAAAACAAGTGTGCGTGTGGGGGGCCTGTTGTACTCTTTTTGTTGTTGTTTATTTGGTCTTTTTCGTTTTTATCGGTACCAGGGATCGAACTCACAACCGCACACTTGCAAGGAAGGTGCTTATGCTGCTGAGCTAAATCCCCAGCCCCCGCCTGTTGTACTCTTAAAGGCTTCAGTCCAGCACACAGCTGCCCCAGGACTCTAGCCCTGGAGAAGTAGTAGGTGTTACCCATGCACATTGCAACTGCCCACTCCAAATGGGAGTGGACCCAAACCCAAGCCCTCTTCTCTACCCTCTCAGGGTTGTCTCTATTCCTGCCACATACAGAAGACAACCTTGGGCCACCCTCCTTGAACAAATCCAGGACAAGCTGAGATTTAAATGCTTGTCTTCTTATCCATATGCTAGGGCAGTTCAAGAGTCCGATGAAAACTTTCTGGCAATGCCTCTGACTCAACTGGCCTGAGAAGTGGACGCAGGTGGCTTGTGGCCAGGAGCAATCACCTTCTCTCATACTTCCACACAGATATTATTGCCTCTACTCTCCAGATGAGGAAACAGGCTCGGAGAGGAAAAATGACTGTCCTCAAGGTCTTTCCACTGTGGATATGGACACAATGGCCACGGTCAGGTTCCCACATTTACTAAGTCTTACATGCCTGCTCAGCTTCTAGGCCCCTCACCTCTCTGCCCTCAATACAAACAGCTCTGAGCTTATGAATACTGTCCTCTCTCCTCCTGTGTACCATATACCTTCTCCACCAAGCATCAGTGCTTTGGCCTTTAAAACATCTAACTAGCATTGGCAGAGGGTGTCAGCACTGCCTGCTTCATTCAGGGAAGTTGCTTCAAGCACTGTCTACACAGCACAGGAACTGTGGACAGTCCCCTGGCATCCCTTCCCAAATAAAGGCTTATGGACTAGTGAAATGTTGGCAGTTTGGGTTCTTGGACTGGACAGCTCTTCCTAGGCTCAGCTAGTGAAATGTTGGCAGTTTGGGTTCTTGGACTGGACAGCTCTTCCTAGGCTCAGCTAGGTGGGACTAAGGGTGGGGTTGTTTGTGAGGGGGACAGGGACTGGGGAGGAAGAGATGGGTAGGGGCTAGGAGAAAACCACTCCACTGGCTGGGCCTCTGGTCTGACCTTTGGCAGGGGCCTGTCCTATACCCACATCAGGGCCCAAACCTGAGAATCTCCTTTGGTGGGATTACAACCAGAGGTTGCATCCAAGATAACCCTCTATCAGCCTGTAGACCCCTGACTTCTATCCATCTGAGTTCATATCCAGCCTACATATACAATTAAAAGGCAGACAGTCTCTAACTACTAGAACTCAACCAAGGCCTGGTCTGGCCCGCAAACCCCTTCCTCACTGGCCCCATTCAGCATGAATTCATCCCCAATCTGAAATTACAGACCAAGTTTGGCATGTTAACTCTTTCATTGAACAAATCCAGTTTCTTTCAACCAAGTTTTACAAAGTGCATTTATTACATCTCTACTAGGCAATTCAATTACTAAATGTGCTTAAATTGAAGAAAGCCCATATATAGCAGGGCATAGTGGTGCACATCTGTAATCCCGGCACTTAGGAGACTGAGGCAGGATTGCTGTGAGTTTGAGGCCAGTCTGACCTATATAACAAGACCCTGCCTCAAAAACAAAAATAAAAACATATTTGGGAGCCCCACACTCTTAAAGACAAGAGCCTAGTAACAGCTCAACAGTAAACTGGTCACTCAGCAAATGTCTGACCAGAAGCACATTAAAGAGTCTCTAACGCAACTACTTACCTTGCAGAAGCAAACAGAAGAAACAGGCAGGATTTTTGCCTCTCTCTGCCCCGCCAGCCTGGAAGTGCACAGCTCCAGCAGAGGAGCTGAGGAGCAGAGAGCTGAGGATTGCATTTACACTTATACCTTCGCGCACCTCTGACACTGCCCATCCACATTCATACGCTCTCCTGCGCCCAAAAGGGAACCTCCTGCTCAGTGCCGACCCCAAGCATGGTGCTGAGAAGAGTCGGTTCACGAAAGCGCGATCTACAGGCTGCAGGATATACAGCCCAGTGCTCTGCGACTACAACTCCCAAGAGGCCGTGCAATAGGCGCCATGTTTTTGCCCGCTGGCTAAAGCTACCTGCCCCAAAGACGGCAGTGCAACTTTAGGTCATTGGCGCGCGCCCGCAGTCGCAAAGTGATAACGTATGGGCCGAGGCTTAGGGCTGTCAGTCAGAGCTCGGCCAGGTCCGGGCCGAGAGGCCCGCGGGGCCGGCGCGGCCATGGCGGCCGTATTTGATCTGGACTTGGAGACAGAGGAAGGGAGCGAGGGCGAAGGCGATCCAGAGTTCAGCCCAGCGGTGAGTGCTCCACCCCATCGCTATGGACTAAAGCCCAGCCTGTCATCTGGCCGAGCCCGAGCCTCGGTTCTACACAGCTGGAGTGGGCTTCGACTTCTGCATACCTGGATCTTTGCAAGATCCAGCGGCACTGAAGCTCAGACCCGCCTTCTCTTTCAGACCCCAGCCGCTGGCTCTGATTCTCCCTTTTCTACCTGCGATCTCTGCGCCTCAACCCTTGCCCTTTTTCTGCCTTTTCCCATCCCTGAGCCAAACAGCGTAACTTGGGGGTAGAGGAGGGATTCAGGCACCTCCCTTGCCTCTTACCCCTCGGTTTCCCGCAGGACGTGTGTCCCCTTGCCGAATTGAAGGCTGCTGGCCTGGAGTGAGTGAGGGTCTTAATGGGGGACGGGGGAATGAACTAGGGAAGGGGAATTAGGAAGCATTGGAGCCTTGTCCCCCATTCACCTCTTGTGTCCATAGGCCTGTGGGACACTATGAGGAGGTGGAGCTGACGGAGTCCAGTGTGAACCGCGGCCCAGAGCGCATCGGGCCTCACTGCTTTGAACTGCTGCGAGTGCTGGGGAAAGGAGGCTACGGCAAGGTACTGGTACCCCTGCCCCGTGGTGTCAACTCCCACCATGAGGCAGACTGAGGTTCTCAACAGAGATTAGAACTGTAAATCAGCAGAGCTTCCGGTAGGCTTCAGAGCTTTTAGCAGAGAGGAAGGAAGGGCAGATTCTCCTAGAATGGGATTGAAGAAGTTTACTGCCCCACCCTTGAGTAAGCCTGGGCCTCTCTGTCCCAGTGATAGAGCTTGAGGGTGGGGCTTCTTAAAGATAGGATGTGGGGAGGGAAGTTGATCCTGTCTTCCTTGCCCTACAGGTGTTCCAGGTGCGAAAGGTGCAAGGCACTAACTTGGGGAAAATATATGCCATGAAAGTGCTGAGGAAGGTGAGTCATTTGCTCAGCCAGCAAGTATGGGGTGGCCATCATCTCTTGCACACTGTCGCAGAATTTGGAGGATAGCAGTAAACATGGTGGAGGAAAAGCTCTCTGTGCTCAGAATTTGCTAGCTTGTTAGCTATTGTGATGTATATTGTTTTGTAGTAATTCCCAAGTGAGGGCAGTTTTGCTTTCTAGGAGACGTTTGTCAATCTTTGGACAATTTTTTGTTTTGTTTTTTCTGAGACAGAGTCTTGCTGTGTAGTTCAGACTGGTCTTGAACTTTCAGCAATCCTTTTTTTTTTTTTTTTAAGTTTTTTGAGATAAGGTGTTTCTGTGTAGTTCATGCTGATCTTGAACTCACTGTATATCCCAGGCTGACCTCAAACTCACAGCAGTCCTCCTGCTTCAGTCTCCTCACTGTCGGGATTATAGGCGTGCGCCGTTACGCCTGATGACAGAGTTTTGATTGAAAAGAAGTGCTGTTGAAATCCAGTAGGAAAAGACAAAGGATGCTGCTAAACATAGTACCCAGGAATTGTCTACTCCAAGGTGTCAATAATGTCCAGTTTGAGAAACACCATGTTAGAGGATAAACAAGACCCTGAAAATGATGGTTGGTGACAGCAGCAGAACTATGAAGAAAGTCAGTGAAATGACCAAAGATGGCAGAAGGGCAATGGATCAGAGCCAAGAACCTTATGTAGAATACTTAGCTGTTGTGGATCACTGACCTTTAAGAAATTTCACTTGTCTTTTGTCCTGGCCAGGTATTTCTGTAGAGATCCGGGGAGGGCTCTAGATAAGGGGCTTTTGCCTATTGGCACCCAGTACTATGATCACTGGGATGATCACTGGGAGGAATCATTCATGACATCACTGCAGCTCTGTGGTTGTGCAGACCTTGAGTCCAGAGGCTGACAGTGCCAATTTGTTTTGTTCTTTTTGAGACAGGGTCTGGCTGTGTGTTTCAGGCTGGCCCCAAACTCATAGTAGTCCTCCTGCCTCAGCCTCCTGAGTGCTGGGGTTGTAGGCCGGCACTGCCACACCTGGCTCTCTCTCTTTTAAATCCCCTTCCCTCTCCCTCCCTCTCTCCTCTAGTTCTCCTTTTTCCCTTTTCATTCTTGTTAATCTTAGCTTGTGTTTATGGTGTATTATGTTGGCATTCATTGAGGTTATTAGGATCTTGTAGCACAGCCACATTTTTGCAGTATGTTCAGGGTTGAGCTTTCTGCTGCAAAACAATGAAAGAGGACACAGAACAGTAACAACAGAGAGTAATGGCTCGAGTAAAGAGCTCCAGGTGCGGTGGTGCCCTACCTTCTAACTCATTTTTGCTTTTCAAGGCCAAAATTGTGCGCAATGCCAAGGACACAGCACACACACGGGCTGAGCGGAACATTCTAGAGTCAGTGAAGCACCCTTTCATCGTGGAACTGGCCTATGCCTTTCAGACAGGTGGCAAACTCTACCTCATCCTGGAGTGCCTCAGTGGTATGCATGTGGGTCCAGTTGGGTTGTGGGTGGCTAAGGACCAATGCAGGCAGTGCTGGGTGCTCAAGGGAAGCTTGAAAGGCTAAGGGACCCCCACATCCACCACCACCCACTATCCATTTGTTCATTCATTCATTCGTTCGTTCATTCAGCAAACATCTGTCTAGTGCCTAGTGTGTCCCTTGCCTGTGTTAGGGGTGGATGGGAATGGTGGGAATTGGGATAGAAGACAAGAGGGTGGTTTTGTCTACTTCTGCAACCCCTTCTCATTCTGTCCTCGTTCCTTGTGTGCCCTGCATGTGGTTTGGGCTTCATCTACCTGCATCCTCTTTAGTGTTGTCCGTCCTTTCTACTGTATTTTGGGGTGTGTGTGTGTGTGTGTGTGTGTGTGTGTGTGTGTGTATGTGGAGTGATCACAGTTGTTTCTACACTCAACCCCAGCTCCCCTACTTTCTGGTGTCTCTAGCTTTCAGGGTCATTCTCTACTTTTTTTTTTTTTTTTTTTTTTTTTTGGAGGCAGGGTCTTGCTGTGTAATTCAGGCCAGTTTTGAACTTAGTTGCTACCCAGGCTGGCCTTGAACTCACAGTGATCCTCCTGCCTCAGCCCCCTCAAGTGCTAAGATTACAGGTGTGTGCTGCCATTCCTGTCCACCAAAACTGACTCTCATTCTGAGTCTGTTAACTACCCAGACAAGCCTGGCCTCCTTGGCCTGGCCCATCAACCCTGCTCACCATGAAATAGCTCAGGTCTGCACTTCCCACCTCTCTCCCTGTACCACCTGCGATCTGGGAGCTGCTACCTGTGTGTGCTGCGTTCTTCCCTTCCATCTCAGCACCCTGAGAAGCCCCACAGCCACCCCGCATTCTGTCTCTTGTTGGGATTTACTTCATCCGTGCTGTCTCCATCCCGAGGTTCTTTGGGCAAAGCTCTCAGAGCTGTTGCCTCTGTCTGGTGTCCTAGAGCAATGTGTGCGTGTCTGTCTCCCCATCAGACTGAGCATCCTGAGGGCAATGGCTGGGTCTCCTCATCTCTGCCCCCAGCTTCACCCAGCACAGGGCCAGGCACCGAATAGGCGGCGGTAGATGTTTGCTGAATTGAATTGAATCCCCACGGCAGCTCTGGGAGGCAGGTAGGGTGGGGTTTATAAGCCTCCTTTTTCCCAAGAAGAAACCAAAACTCAAAGTCAGTGGCAGGACCAGTCCTAGCACACAGCCTCTGATGTGTTTGTGTTGCAGGGGGTGAGCTCTTCACACATCTAGAGCGAGAAGGCATCTTTCTGGAAGACACGGCCTGGTGGGTGTAAAGTTTGTCTCTCTCCCCAAGGGTACCTGGCTCTTCCTCCACCCCTTCACACTGTCCTGTCTCTCTGCAGCTTCTACCTAGCTGAGATCACCTTGGCTCTGGGCCATCTCCACTCCCAAGGCATCATTTACCGAGACCTCAAGCCTGAAAATATCATGCTCAACAGCCAGGGTGCGCCTGTGAGCACACTGCTGTGCAGCTGCTGGGGGTTCAGGGAGAGGCTGGGAGCCACAGCTAGGTGGCCTTGACCATCCTCTGCTATTCTTCCTCAGGCCACATCAAACTGACGGACTTTGGACTGTGCAAGGAGTCCATTCATGAGGGTGCCGTGACTCACACCTTCTGTGGCACCATTGAGTACATGTAAGTAGCACCTGGCTGGCCTGTGGTCGGGAGGATAGCCAGAGGGGCCTGGCCTGACTGACAGTTCCTCCCGGCCCCCAGGGCCCCTGAGATTCTGGTGCGCAGTGGCCACAACCGGGCAGTGGACTGGTGGAGCCTGGGGGCCCTGATGTACGACATGCTCACTGGATCGGCAAGTCCAGCCTCCTTGGGAGAGGGGTGGTGTGGGAGAGCCCCTTCCCAGCAGGGGCAGGACCTGGTGGAGGCCACCAGGCTCCCCTCACCTTCTGCCTCCTCTAGCCACCCTTCACTGCAGAGAACCGGAAAAAGACCATGGATAAGATCATCAAGGGGAAGCTGGTGCTGCCCCCCTACCTCACCCCAGATGCCCGGGACCTTGTTAAAAAGGTAGGGACCCTCCTGCCAAGGCTTTACCCTGCTGGCCACTCTGTGTATGTCCCTAAATGCCATTGGCCTGTGCAGTGTGCCCAAGCCTCAGCTTTGCCAGACCATCTGATTTCCGTAGACAAGCCTACATCTAGTTTATAATCAGGAAGTAAGGTAGCCAATTCCACCAGGGGGCCAGCAGCTGGTGTGCATGGGAGGGGAGGACTCCTTCAGGACTTGGCATTGGATCCTGACTCGAGGTATTGAGGGTAATGCCAGGAAAGGCTTCATGGAGAAGGTACCATTGTACCCAAGCCTGAGGCTCAGTAAGTGGAGGCCATCCTACAGGGCACCCCCTAACCTTGTCTTCCCCCAGCCACCCCAAGCTAGGTGATAGTACCTCCCCCAAGCCCTCCCTTCTGCCTCGGTCCCACAGTTTTTGAAGCGGAATCCCAGCCAACGGATTGGGGGTGGCCTAGGGGATGCTGCTGATGTGCAGGTGAGTCTGGGACCAGAAGGAGGGGAGGGAGCCAGAAAAGGTGAACAGTTGGCATGTTTGAGAATGCTCTCTACCCTCAGAGGCACCCCTTCTTCCGGCACATCAATTGGGATGATCTCCTGGCCCGCCGCGTGGATCCCCCTTTCAGGCCAAGTCTGGTAAGTGCCGGTCCTGTGGCCCTGTGGCAGGTGGAGCCCCCACGCCTCAGACTCCCTCACCCTTCCCATGTGGATCTGTCCACAGCAGTCAGAGGAAGATGTGAGTCAGTTTGACACCCGCTTCACACGGCAGACGCCAGTAGACAGCCCAGACGACACGGCCCTCAGTGAGAGCGCTAATCAGGCCTTCCTGGTAAGGGCCCCGGGACCCAAGGACCGTGGGGACCAAGGCAGGGATGGTGGCTAAGGAGTGGCGGACACTGAACATCAACTGGCCCAACATCTCCCCCCAGGGCTTCACATATGTGGCCCCTTCAGTGCTGGACAGCATCAAAGAGGGCTTCTCCTTCCAGCCCAAGCTGCGTTCCCCACGGCGCCTCAACAGCAGTCCTCGGACCCCAATCAGGTACCAGGCTGCAGAGGTGGGTGGGTGGCTGTACAGGGGGCTTTAGTGACAGGAGGCCGCAGGTTTGGGGGGCCTTGGCCATAGCTTTTGGTCAGCTCAGACCCTGCAGGGCCTGGGGGCTCTGACTGTGCCTTGGTTTCCTTTTGCAGTCCCCTCAAGTTCTCTCCCTTCGAGGGATTCCGGCCCAGCCCAGGTCCACCAGAACCCATGGAACCTCCTCTACCTCCACTCCTGCCACCACCACCGCCACTACCCTCAAGCACTGCTCCTCTCCCCATCCGTCCCCCCTCAGGGACCAAGAAGTCCAAGAAGGGCCGTGGGCGTCCTGGGCGCTAGGAGGATGGATATGGGTGAGGGCAACCTAGAGGCCCTTTCCCTGTGGGCTGCAAGGACAGCCAGACCCTGGCCGCTCCACAAATTGGGGTGTGTCTGCAGGACAGGAAGGAGCATGTCTTTGCCTGGGTGACAGAGGCCCAGAATCATGCGCATGGAGGCAGCTGGCTTTGACTGCTGCCAGCAGGGTCCCACTGGGAGGGACCTGAATTTAATTGTAGAATTAAAGACCTGAATCATGGCATTGACTGGCTTCTGTTGGAGTCTGGGATTAGGTGGTCATTCCAAGAGCAGCCCCTGCTCAGGGTGGCGAGGGGACACTACAGGGTCACAGATGATACTTCTAGGTTAATCTAACTAGCTTGATTGCAGTTTCATAAAATTCGATGGAGTCACCAGGATCATTTATTATTCTGTCACTAAAATGATTAAAGTACTCCCGTAGGTTTCTGATCCAATAGTCTTCGTTCAATAAGCTCAAAGGCCAGTTTTTCCACATACGCAGTTTCCAAGTAATAATACTTTAGCCCTGAAATCAGTACATTTTAAAACAGGTAATTTGAACTTAAGTGTAAATTTAATAGGGAACTTAGTACCATTTCTCGTACAGTAAAATGTATTAGCATTTCCTACCAGAGTGTGCTATCACCAATTGCTAGGATCAAGCAGCAGGGGAGGGCATTGCTTTCAAATGGCTGCCCAGGGCACGGGTGGGGGATAGCCTTATAGAGGGGTTGGGGCTGCACAGACTTGGGACCTGAAAGGGGTCTGAGGTACTCCACGTGGGAGTTGGAGTGACGATGACAGATCCCCGGTAGTTGTTTGCCACCATGACAGCTTGGGAAGCAGAGGTGCAGTAGATGCCACGACAGGGCTGGGACACCAAGGCTGGCTCCTATAGTGCAGTGACATGGAGGCCCTGGGCCCCTGCGGCCCCAGTGCTGTCATCCCATGCTGCACTGCCTGAGAAGGCATGCAGGTCACTCAGCAGGGCCTCAGCGCTGCCTCCTGAGCCCCGTTCAGCATCAGTGTTGAGTGCTTCCTCGGTGCACCCCAAGGCCTGTTCTGGGTGCGCTTCTGCTCTGCAGCGCTGTTGCTTGTCTTCCTGGGGTTCAGCCTCCTCCACACCATCTTCATCTTCTGCATCCTGTACGTCCTCTTGCCCCTCTGCGTTGTGTGGTGACCCCAACTGAAATTGGGTCTGAAGCCAGTGGCCTGGAGGGCTGGCCCAGAACAGGCGTTGGGTACGGCCCCACAGCTCAGTGCCCAGGCGGGCCGGGTGGTAGTAGCCCCCCGAGTCACGGCTGAGGCGGTGCCAGGCCAGGACCAGGCCAGCGAGCAGCAGGAGGAATAGCAGCAGCAGGAGGACAACAGTCACCGAACTGGAGCCCACGCTGTCCCCGGAGGCCAGAGTTCCTGGCAGGGTCACCAGCAACCCAAACCCAAGGGCATAGAATACAGCCTGTAGGAGACAGGTTGGGACTGTCACCTGGTGTGGAGTTGGATGAGTGACCAAAATCAATTTCTATTCCCCACTGAGAAGCTCCTCAGTCACCCCTACCAAAATGGAAGCAGTCGAGCCGAAAAGCTCCAGTCTTTATTTAGTCAAGGCCTTGGCTCAGTGTGATCTGCCTCGAACCCTGACCTTGGCCCCACACCTCATTCCTTGCTTCCTTCAGCCTGCTCCTGCCCGAGGCCTTCACACCGGCCCTTCTTGGCTTGGAATTCCACAAATCTGAGAGCCACATGGCTGCGTGCTCACCTCCCGGGAGACCCAGTATGACCTTGATTGCTAACTCCTGTTTATTGCAGTAGTCTACCCACCCTGCACTCTCCAGACCCACTAACCTGCTCTATTTTCTCCATTGTACACAAGATATGGGTCTGCCTCACCTCACCTCCCTAATCAGAATAAGCTGTAGGAAGACATTTGTGGGATCTACAGACCTAAACCTAATACCTGGTACAAAGTAGATGCTCAAGAAATATAGGCTAGCTGGGCACAATACTGCAATGCCTACAATCCCAGAATGTGGGAGGCTGAGGCAGGAGGACTCTTGTGAATTCAAGGTCACCCTGGGCAACAAAATGAGGTCAAAGGCAGCCTGAACTGCACAGTGAAACTGTCATTCAAAGACCAGGAAAAGGGCCAGGGGTTTAGCTCAGTGGCATAAGCATGTGTTTGACAGTTCCATCCCTGGTACCGAAAAGAAAAGAGACAAAAAATGCCTCATGCCTGTAATCCCAGCACTTGGGAGGCTGAAGGCAGGACTCCCACAAGCTGAAAATCAGCCTGAGTAAGTTCAAGACAGTCTAAACTACAGAGCAAAACCCTGTCTCCAGAAACCAAAAAAACAGGCAGAATGTGTCAAAACTGCCCACCTGGGGTAGGAGGGTTGGTAAGAGGAGAAAGAAGGGAAAGAAGGGGCCTGAGTAGCTGGCATCAGTGCTGACTCAGAGCTGGGATAGAGGGATCTGGGTGAACAAAGAAGAGACCCCAGGCCTCTGCGTGGCTGGGACCTGGGATGGGGGTCCCTGAGGCCCCTCTTCCTCCCACAGCTACTGTAGTTTCCGCTTAGCAGCCCGTCCCGAGGGCCCCAAGAGAGCAGGGCTGGGGCTGGGGGCGGCCCGGTGCAGCTGGCAGAGGAAGCCTGCGGTTGGAACAAGCAGGTGGAGCGTGTAGGGGAAGGGGGAGGGTGTGAGTATGGCCCTTCCCTCAGCCTCCAGGCCCCAGAGACACAGCAGGAGCCATGCTGGAGTCCAGCTCCTGAGATGACCAGGTGAGGCTCTATCCCAGGGGCCTCAGGGCTGGACTCGGAGTGGGGGCCGGAGGACTCTTGAGTCCCAGGGAGCCCAGCTCTGAGTTGGACCCGGCTTCTGCCCGATGATGCTCGGCCTGGGTCTTGCCTTTCTGTGCCTCCGGGTCCTAGCTGGGAAGTCCTTCTGCACATTCCAGCCCCAATCTGGAACCCCCGGCCCCTGCCTCTGCCCCAAGAAAGCAGCAGGCCCTAACACTCACCATCAGTCTACTGGCCTCCTCCCAGGGCGCCCACTTCTGGCTCTAGATGTGCTGAGAAGTGAGCTCCGGAGCTCTCGACTGCAGCTAGGGGGGTTATCCACCCAACACTTCCGCTTCCTGTTCACAATACCCAACCCGCTTTTGCCTGCCACAGGACCCTGGTGGGACCTGGGCCTCTCGGGACCATTCCAGCCCACATCAAATTCTCACAAACTTCTCTGGTGAGGCTTGGGCCATGGGCCTCACCAGGCCTCCAAAAGGAGGAAATAGGCGTCCAGCTCAAAGCTGATGAAACTGTAGACAGGTCTGTAAGTCTTCTGCCTCAGTTTCTTTGCCTGATGGGATTTAGGGGAGTTGTGTGGTTACTCGGGGTCCCCAGGCCTCTCACACTCATGACTTCCATGCTCATTTGTCCCCAGGTTTCCCAATTTTCCTTCTCAGACCCATGCTTGCAGCAGCCAGTCAAGCCAGGGTTTTAGAAAGAAAATTTTATTTGGAATGAAAATATAGAGCTCATCCCTGCCACTTCCTCTGGGGATGGGAGGTGGGGAGGCTGGGAGGAGTTGCGGGGTGAGGAGGCTGGGAGGAGTGGTGGGGAGATGGTCCCTCAGAGTATAAGCAAGCTGACCGTGGTATAAAAATCCTCCACAGTAACAGTGACCACAGCTAGGCAGTGACTCCAGCCTGGGCCCTGGGCCCGGTCAGGTACAAACTGGCCCTGACCTGCCACAGAGGTCCTTGATCAGTCAGCAGCCAGTGCGTGACCTGCCAGCAGAAGCCGAGTGAGAAGGGGATGAAAGAGGGTATGCATCAAGGGGGTAGATCCAAGGGCCATGGTCCTACGCATCCCCATTCTCCATGCGGCCAAGCTGTTCCTCCAGGCGAGTGATACGGTCCCCCTGCTCCTTGATCAGTGCCTGCAACGCCCGAAGCTTCTGCAGGATTTCTTCCAGCTTCCCAGCCTCCTGCAGGGACAACAGGAAGTCAGTGGCCAGCAGCTACAACTCTCCTCAAAGTAACCACCAGACAGAGGACTTAGGTTCAAAGAGGCACACACAGACTGGGTCGGCACCCAGGCCCCAGTATCACCCTGACTAGGGAGCATGTACCTCAGCCCCTGTGAGGCTGCCACTGGGGGTGGCAACGGCGGGGGTGGCAGTAGATGTGGAGGTGCCAGGCCGGCTGGAGCTGGCTGGCCGGCTGTCAGATAACACATTGCGTCGGCTGACTTTCAGGTCTCGCGGTTTGCTGGGCACGTAGGCCTCCCGCAGTGAGATCAGGATGGGGTCAGCATCCTGCCCGCTCACCCACTCTTCAGCCTCCAGGGCCGCCTCAGGCCCGGCCGTGTCAGGATACAGATCATCCTGGAAGAGGTCAGACTGCGCAGCAGGTAGAAGTCAAGATGAGCTGGGGGACAGGGGGTCCTCCCACCAAGGTGCTCACAGCTGGACCCTGTGTGGCCACTTTCTCACTTCCCTCGGGGCCCTGGGTTGACATTCTGTTAACCTAGCCTCTAATGGCCTGGCCCTGAGTGACCTCAAATCTGCCATTTCACTTCCCTTCTGGATACCAACAGCTCCCTCTGCAATATCCCCAACCCTCCTGAGCAGGGCTGTCACCACTCTTGATTGCAAACCGCAGGTCCCAACTATGTGGCTTTGTGGGATCCTGCGAGCCCCATTTGGGCCCCATGAACTAAGCTGTTGGAGCAGGTTCTATTAGTCCCCACCCTGCTCTGCACCCAGATGTGCCTGGCACACTGAATGAAACGCTCAGCAAATGTCAGCTGGAGAATAATGGAAGTGTGTCAGAGACACTTGGCATCTGATGCCAAAGCCCATGTGGCCTGGCTGTCCTCATGGAACTCTCCATGACAGCCAGACCTCTCGTCCCTCGTTCCATTCCCAGTTCCTCTGGGACAGACCCCAGCTAGCCCTGTGTCATCCTGCTCAGCCCCCATCTACCTTCCGGGTACGAGTGCATGCTGGCATCTGTCCAGCCCACCCACTGCATCCTCTCATGCGTTTGGCCCATCACTAATATGTACTAGAGAAGAAAGCAAATGGGTTCCAGAAGCAGGCGGCCTCACCTTTCTTGGCACAGTCATGACAATGGGCTCACACTTTCGCTCATGCAGTTTGTAGAACCTGGGAAAGGGAGGAGGCCCCATAAGCAGAGCTCTCCTAGCAGCCCCCAGCCTCCACTTCCAGCTTCACCCAGCCTTCCACAGGCTGACTCTAGGTACCTTTGTGGCCTCAAGGGTTCCTATAGACTGGGCCCTGACACTTGGACCCCTCTGTGACATTTCACCCTGGATGCCCTGGGTTTAACCCCCTGCCCCCATCCTGACCCATCCCCAGGTCCAGCCTCAGAATGAATCCCATCCCCTTACCGGGCAATCTCACACTTGTTGACCTCCAAGCCCCGCTTGGGCATGCTGCCCATGCCCCTCTGGGGCTCCTTGCTGGTGAATGTGTTCAGGAAGTGGATATAGGGCGGCTCATTAGTGATCTCAAAGTACCTGATGCTGGAATCACCCTGTAGGGGCACAGAGCTCAGCGCTCAAACCACAAAACCTCCCTTATTCCCACCAGCTGTGCCAAGCCCCACCTTGCCACAAACATAGACCACACTGGTGTCGGGATCGTAGAAGGGCAGCAGGGCGCCGTTGCTTGAGTCCAGCTCCTGCAGGGCCATAGGCTCCTCAAGGTTTTCCTGGTACATGGAGAGCAGTCAGGTCAAGCCACAATTGTCCTTTCAAACCCCGATCAAGACTGGTATTAAGCAGCTTCACATGCAAGCCAGCGCTGCCCCAAGACGAAGGGGATTCTCTCCTACCTCCTTGCCTCCACCCACGCAGTGTGACCCATCAAGGGATTCTTTCCACTTCTGTGGTCCTACTTTTCCATCCTCCCCTAGGCCTTAAGACTCTATGCAGGCCACTGAGCACATGCTGGGGACCACAGGCACTCCATCTCTGCCTTAGAGAGGCCCTGGTTACTGTGCATAAACATAGCTGTAGGACAGAGCGCTTTGTGGAAAGGGCTCTCCTGAAAGAGGAACCTGTGCATTGGTTCTTAAACACCAGCTGAGTGGTTCACACAGGGCCTTCTATCAGCAGGAGCAGGGTAGCAAAGATACAGAGATGATAGGGGAGCCTCAGGGAAGGCCAGAGAGCACAGGGTAGGATCAGGAGAGAGTGGCATGGTTCTGGGGCCAGTCCTCTCCATGGTGACCCCTGCCAGCCTGGTCCTGGACGATGCTGCCAGAGTAGGCCCAGTCTCAAGCCTGCCCCCTTAGGCTGATCGCGGCCACTCACTGGGTCCCAGAGCGCCAGCTGCCGCTCGCTCATGCGGCTGAAGCCTGTCGTGAACACCTTGCCGTCCGCCAAGAAGATGGCCCGCATGGGCCGAGCCCCCTCATGGGCTTTCTCCCGCTCCTGGGGAGGGACACGTGGTCAGTACAGCACCCTGATCAAGACCCCAGGCCTGTCCACTGCCATCTTCACCCTCTGGGGCCACATACTGCCACCAGGGTGCCTCTGCGGGGGTCGATGATGCGCATGCGCTTGTCTTTGCATGCTGTGCAGAAGAGGCTCCCGTTGCGGTTCCAGCTGACGTTGTAGATGAGGTCGGGGTGCAGGGTGTCCAGGCGGTACAGCTCCTCTGCAGTGCCCACATTCCAGATGAGCACCACATTGTCGCAGCCTGGCAGGTAGAGGGCCGTCAGCTTAGACCTGGGCAGGCAGGTGGGGGCCATCAGCCTGCCAGACCTAACTGTCCACTCCCCCGGGACTGAAGCAACTCTCTTAACTGCTGCAGGTCTCAGCTTCCCTATCTGTCAGATGGACCTGGAAGAGGCTGCAAGGATGTTCCAGAGCTGCATATGCAGAGGGGGCTAGAGGGGTAAGATGGGTAGGGAGCAGCGCAGACCTGCACTGAGCAGCACATTGCGGGCGGTGGGGTGCCAGGTGATGATACCCACGCGCTTGGTGTGCCCCTCCAGCACCACCACTGGCTCTGTCAGTGGGGAAACCAGACCATTCTCTGGGATCTGCCACACCTGCAGGAGGGATGGGGATGTCGGGCTGAGGCCTCTGCTACCAGCAGCCTCCAGCCATGCCTGAGACCCTGGTCCGAATAGCCCTGCGCTCACCATGACTGTGCAGTCCTCTGAGCCGCTGGCAATGACTTCATCATTGTGGGGACACCAGTCAATGTCTAGGACAGGTCCTGTATGCCCGCACACTGTCGGATAGGCCTTGTCAATGCGGCCCGTCTGCAGGAATGGAGGCATAGTGAGAATGGCTGTGCTTTGTCTCTCCAGAGCCTCAGTCCCCTCCTGGGAGTAGGATGATGTACTGAGCCTGGATCACTGGTGCTCCAGATGTGACAGTGCCCAATCCCGCCCTCCTAGATAAGCAGGAAATGTCTGCAGCCTCTGTCTCTGACTCAGTGGCAATAAACACTTTGGCACCTTCGATCACACCTCCTGGGCAGTAAATATGGATCATAATATGTGGCCAGCAGGAAGGGGACAAACGAGGCAGGCCTCTGAGGTACGCAGAAAGTTCACAGGAGTGGCTCAGGTGCCTGCTGTCTTCCCTCCAGCCCTCCTCCCAGCCTTGATGGGACCCACCTTGTTCAGGGGGAGCACCATAAAGGCACCCCCACCGCTGGCCTCTACAATCACAGCCAGGAACTTGGGGTTCACTGCGCAGAAAGTGCTGTCCCAGGTAACACGGGACACTCGAATGTCCTCGTAGCACTGGTCATTCTTGACTGGCTGCCCAAACACATGCCGGAATTTGCTCTGCCGTACTACTTTTCGGAAGGACATGTCTGCAGGGCAGAGAGGTGGGGAATCACCTTGTTGTCACAGCGACCTGACCGCTCCCTGGGCTGCATGATGGGAGGTGGAGAGGGTGCAACAAAGCTGGTTATTAGAACCAGCCTGGGTCTCAGTTTCCCCAGTCACAGAGCAGGGTCACAGGCGCAGACAAAGGCTGCCTCCCACAGGCACCGATGTGCAGGGGTAAATGCACGGATCTCTAGGGCGCGCCATCGCTGAGTTCTGAGTGGCTTTGAGGAACTTTCCTTGGACCCTCCCCCATCTCTGCTGTGGTGCCCCCCCCCCCAAGAAGGCATAACTCTTTAGGTCCGGGGCGGTTCGGCGCTGCCTCTCCTGCCCAGAAATTTGGAGGATGCATGAAGGGCAGGAGGCAGGAAAGGTCTGCCTGCTGGAGGACGCTTTAGGCCCCAGTTCTGAGTCCCAGGAAAGGTGCAGGGAGCTGCAGGAACGCCGGCCCGGGGGCCTTGGCCGGACGCAGCAGGGGTCAAAACGACGCTGCCAGTTGCCGAGCATCCCAGATCTACCTCAGAGCACGGTCCAAGGTGAAACAGGGACCCAACTTCTAGGGACCCTGGCTCAGGAGAAGAGGCTGGACGTCCAAGGGGAGCTAGGACTGAGGGTGGGGCGCAAGGGAGAGACAGTGCTCCTCCAACTTGCAGCCCCCCTCCCCGGGCCCCGCCCTCGCCCGAGATCCCAGCCGGGTCCCGCCCCGTTTCCCGCTCACCGCTCACCGGGAGTGCCGGGGGCTGTGGCGGCGGCCTCGGACTGCTTGGGATCCCGATCTCTGGGAAGCAGGAAGCGGGAATCAGGAAGTGACAGAGGAGCGAGGGCGGGGGAGGGGGCCGGGCAGGGGCTGGAGAGGCGGGGCCGAGTCACGCGCGCGCGCGGGGGGTGGGACCGCCGAAATAGTTGGGCGGAGTCAAGGGGGACTGGGGCGGGGCCAGCAGGGGCCCCACCCCGAAGAGGCTAGGTCCAAAGCTTCTCCACCAAAAGTGAAAAGTTACCCTGCAGCGGCTGGAGCAAGGGTCAAGGTTCAAGGACATGCACAGGAGTTGCGGGGTTAGGATGAAGCCAAACCTGCCAATCCCCATCCGGACTGCGCGCCCCTAAGGCACCCTGTAACTGTCCCCGCCTCCTCCAGGTGGTGTCTACGTGGACAAGTCGACTAAGTAAAGCAACGTTGGAAGGAGACAGGGAAAGGTCCAGTGGTTCCATTCTTCACGTGGACGCCGTGGGTCCTGCCAGGCTCTTTATTGAGGGCTGCAGATCCCTTGCAGCTTCCTTTGCTCCCTGGACCATCTATGCGGAGCCTCTTTTTTTTCTCTAACAAGGAGCCCAGCCTGGCCTCCCCAGATCAACCAACCCCACCCAATCTGACCGCGGGGCCTTCGGTGTCCTTGTGGGATCCACTTTTAAGTCCATGGTTCAGGGCACTGGCTCCCTCCTATCCTCTTAGGCATTTACTACCCTGAGTGACCAGGAGGTGATGGCAGGGTCCTTTTCCCAGAACGAAAAGGAAAAGAGCAAAGACAGGCAGAGAAAAGGAGCCCGGCTGTGTGTTGGAGGGTAGGCTGGCTTGTGTCTCATCTCATTCCCTCTCCACCCTGGGAGGAGACAGGCTCAGAGAGGGCAGGTGTTTCCCTGAGGGCACACAGCTAGTGTTCACTCTTTATCTGGTTTCAAAGTCCTTACATTTCCCAGTGCTCTCCATAAACCCTAGGCTGGCCAGGCAGGAATGTGGGGACCAGATGCAGCAGAGGAGAGTCTGTTTAAAGCCCACACCAGCCTGGGTGGCCTCCCTTCCCAACCCATCAACGGCTTGATTGAGACACAATCCTCAGCCGCCTTGTCTTTCCAGCCACCCTACCTGTCTGACCCCTACCCAACACCTCTTGCACCTCCACTGTCCTCTTCCGGCCTGTGGCCCAATGATACTGACCTCTCCCATCCCTGAACAACCCCCTACCCCAGGACAGGGCATCCTGTTCCCTCCCTTTGGCTGCAAGCTTTCCTCCTGGGTCTTGAAAAGACTCTAGACCTCAACTTACCCCATGTCTCTCCTCACCTGTTACCTCCCTTGGGGCTCTCCCTGACATCCCTCTCACCCACTCTCTGGCCCTTCCTTGTTCCCACTGCATTGTTTTTGATCACTGTTGGATCATCAGATGCTTCTCCCTGCTAGGATGTCAATAACTTGAGGGCAAGGATTTTGCCTTCCCCCAACTCAACACTCAGCTTCCGGAAAGGGACCCAGTACCCAGCAAGTGATCCCTTTGTACAGGTTGAGCGGGTGAACGAGTGGCATCCCTGAATGTAGCGTTAAAAATCTTCAGAATCAGGGGCTGGGGATTTAGCTCAGCGGCATAAGCGCCTGCCTTCCAAGCAGGCAGTCGTGAGTTCAATCCCTGGTACCGATAAAAAATGAAAAAGACAAAAAAAAAAAAAAATCTTCAGAATCAACATCTGGCCCCTCTGGAACAGAGGGGAGGGTCTTTCCCTTAGAGAAGGATGGAAGGAGTCTCCCAGAAAGCAAAAGTAGCTGAGTGCTGGGATGATGTGGGAGGCTTGAAGGCCCTGTTTCTTCCAACATAAGCCTCCTTTGTGAAACTCTGGGAAAATTCTCTCTGTCACACAGGTCACTTCAGGGTCTAGTGTTTTTCTTGGATAGCAATTACGCACTATAAGTGAGAGTCTCCTTTGGGACCTTGGCGGTAGGGTTGGCTCAGTCCTCAAGGCAGATGGCTGGTGCCGAGGTTTTATTCACTGATCTGCTCTCCATGTTGAAAAGCTTTGGGACCATTGCCAGGAAAAAGGGGGACAGAAGTCCAAGTCCTGTCCCCAGCGAGTGTATGCCTCAAAAAATAAAACGGGAAAAGTGAGGGAGGAGGAATAAAACCTGGCAGGCGTCTACCTGTCACACAGGCTCTGGCCTATACTGGTCTCACGCCTGGCTTGGGCCAGGGGTGCCCACGGGTACAATCAAACTAAGGGTTAACAGTGATTGAACACTTATTGTATATTTGATAAAGATCCAAACACTTCATAGAGATTAATCAGTTATGATCTCCATTTTACAGATTGGCAACTGAGTTCCAAAGAAACCAAGAATTTTGCTAAAGTTTACACACAGTGAATATTAGAGTCAAGATTCAGATAACTCTTTTGGAGCACCAGAGATCACAACCTCAACCTCACCTGTGTATCTCTAAAAGGGAGGGCCAGCCAGAGAGGCATCAGGACTAGCATGGGCTCAGTAAATACTTATTGGATGAATAGGTTCAAATAACTCACATCTGCCCAGCAATCCCTCTCTCACCTGTCTTAGTCCCTGTAATCCATGCCCTTCCTATGTTTGGCTCTGATAATAACCACAACCTGCTACCTGACAAGAAAAACATTATCCTGAATTGACATAGGCAAACACTGAGGCCAAGAGGAAGCTAGGACTCAAACCCAGATTTCACTGCACCACACCCAGCTGCCCAAACTGCATGCCACCTTTTTACAATGGTACAATCTTGGGAAGGGCAGCATATAAAATGCCACTTTCATTATACCTGCTGGGGAGGGCATCTCGCAGCTGCTGCAGATCCCAGTGCTGAACTAGTGGGAAAGGACTGTGTGGGGGGAGTGGGGTAGGGACTGTGGTCTTGGACACTAGGGGCAGGAGATGGGGAACAGGCTTGCAGTGCTTCCTCTTTTTTCTGGCAGTCTCTGCAGTTGTCAAGAAGCTGGCTCTGCCTGATAGAAGCTTGGTGACCTCTGGGAACCTTTGCCCTTTCTGGGGCCACTGGTGCACTCAGATAACTTCTACACTGTGCCCTTAAGCTTAGCTGGGTGAGGTTGGGTCTAGTGCACCCTCTACCTGCAGCCCCTCTAGAGAATCTGTGCAGCCTTCCCTGGGAGGTTTGGGGGCAGGTGACGAATGGAATCAGGCTTTGAAGTCTCTTGCCAACCCCTCGCTGCCCCGCAGGATGCAGAGGTCCAAGCACCACGATCTCTCAGGCCACCTACGTGTCTGCAGCCTAGGCCAGTCATAGCAGCCCAGGTGCTCTGGCCAGGGGGTGGCTCTCCCACCTGCCTCCAGCCAGCCATCCTAAGGGCTATCTCTGTATGCCCTTGATGGAGAGGACATCTCCTCCCTGATCCCCAGCTACATGGCTCCTTTGGGGGTACCTCATATGCTCCCTCATTTAATCCTCAAAATAGCCCACAAAACAGGAACTCTAAAGTAGTCTGTCCTGAGTCACCCAGGAAAGGCGTCACAGAAGTAGATTTGAATCCAGGCTTGGCCACTTTTGCCTCTTCTCCAGCTTCCTTGCTGAGGGAAATCTTACACTGGCCTCACTGTCTTCTGGGACAGGGTACTGTTAGAGAGGGCTTGGCCAGGCCAGGCCAGCCCATGGGCCACTGGGGCCTCTGGCTTCTGCTTGGAGCTACAGCTCTTGGTGGGCTCCTTTTTCTGCAGGGATTTTTCTTTTTGTTGTCCCTGTGTCCAGGCTTGACCTACTATCTTCCTCCAGCAGGACCAAAGTACAGAGGAGGCGGCTTCTGAGGTACTGGAGGACAGAACTAAGCAGGACACCATCAGAGATGGCTCAGGAGGCTATTGGGTGACTATGCGTTGGCAGCAACCATGGAAGAGCATGACAGGACGGGGCAGTGGATGCTGACACTAACCCTGTGGGACCTTTGGCTGCTTCATTTCACTTTCCCTTTGTAGTTCTTCCAGGTCAGAGGACTTGGTGGGGTTTTCAACAGTGATGTTCTCTGCAATTCCTGCCTCTCCAACTGGCTGGTTCCTCCACTCCCTCTGGCTTTTCTGCTGCCCTGGCAGGCCTGGCCTTCTTAGATCCTCATGTGGGGCCTGCATTGGGGGTCTCTGTTGGTGGAGCACTTCCAGGGCTTTCTCCTTCGGGGACCGCCGGCATTGCTGGGCTCGCAGAGGCCTCAGATGAAGGATCTAGAGATGGGCTGAAGGAAGCTTCCTCACAGGGCCTGGTGGTTTCAGTAGCAGCACCAGAGGACTGGGCCTCTGTGCTCGACTGTGGCTGGACCGTATCATCCAATGGTGGCTGGGCCGGGGGGTTCACCTGAGATTGAGCCACAGGATCCAGGGGCGGCTGGGCCGTGGGGTTCACCTGAGGTTGGGCCACGGGACTCAGGGGCAGCTGGGCCGTGGGGTTCACCTGAGGTTGGGTCAGGGGAGGGGGTGTCTGGGCCTCTGCTGTTAGCGCTGGGCTCTGAGAGGCCACCTGTGTCTGTGGCTCAGCCGGTGTGAAACCACCTGGCTGCTCCTCGCAGAGAGCTGCAGCAAAGGAGGAAAGCATGGTGCGCAGCAGGGCTCTAAGGTTAGTGCTGGCCATGAGGCAGAGGAAAGGACTCAGGCAGCTGTTGAGTAAGATCAGGTAGTCCGAGTAGACCAGGGCCTCCCAGAGCAGGTAACCGGGGTAGATGTCCCATAGGAAGGCCAGATAGAGTAGCTGTGCCAGTTGATACGGCAGTCGCAGGACCACATAGGCCGACAAAATGGTCTTAGCCACGCGAGCAAAACCATGACAGGCTGAGGGCTGAGGCTGGCGGCGGCAGCAGACCCGGCAGGCTGCAGCCTGGGTGAGCACATGGCAGACGAATAGCAGGAGGAATGGCAGGAAGCCTCCCAGGATCTCAAGCATCCTCAGGGGCAGCTCTTCGCTGTCCCAGAAGTCCAGGCAAATGACCAGATCGTACCACCAGATGGTGGCCTCAGGGAAAATCAGCCAGGGCACACTGAAGAGTGTGGCCAGCACCCAGACCCCGGAGCAGACCCAGAGGGGTAGGCGGGCTGGGCGGCGCCCAGGGTACCAGCGTGGGCACAGTGCCAGCAGGCAGCGGTCCAGGCTGAGGGCTGCCAGCAGGAAGAGGCCAGAGGAGTAGGACACAGCCCACAGGAAGTAGTAGAAGCGGCAGGCAGCTGTCCCCAGTGGCCAGTGCCCTCCATGCTGGATCTCCAAGATCTGAAAGGATGCTGCTGCCAGGAACAAAAAGTCGGAGAGGGCCAGGCTGAGCAGAAGCAGGGCCAGCCTTGTACCCGTCCCATGCCGGGCCTGTGAGCCAGCCAGCCATGCCATCAGCCCATTAGCTGGCAGCCCCAGGAGCAGGAGGGCCACAAGGAATACTGTGTCCCAGCCACCCTGAGGGTAGTAGTCCTCATCCTCGAGCTCTGTGCGGGGCCCAAGGCCAGCAGCGCCCAAGTTGGCTTCCATAGCAGTGTCCATTGGGAGTCCCCAGTGTACTGCTGGACACGGACTGGGTGCCTGGTGAATGAATGGATGCAGGAATGACTGAGCATGAAGGAGAGAGTGCAGTACATCTCCGGGCAAATCACTGTCCCTCTTAGGGCTGCTGTTGTCACCTTTTGGGAAGTTGGCCTGCACCAGGGAGTTTTTTGGTTTTGTTTTTGGTATTGGAAATCCAACCCAGGACATTATACTTGCCAGGCAGGTGGTTGTGCTACCGAGCTACATCCCTGCCCTCCCCACCTTTTTTTTGAGCCAAGGTCTCACTATGTAGTTTGGGCTAGCCTTGAACTCACTGTGTAGTCCAGATTGGCCTCAGACTCATGGTGATTTTCCAGCTTCAGCCTCCTGAGTGCTGGGGTTACTGGTATACCAACATATGTAGCTTTGGTGGGGCAGGGGTTTTATTTTTTTGGTATCGGGGTGTCAAACTCAGGACCTTATGCTTGCCAGGCAGGTGCTTATACCGCTGAGCTAAATCCCCAGCCCTTATTTATTTATTTTTATGGTTTTTTTTTTTCTTTTTGTGGTGGTACTAGGGATTGAACTCAGGGTCTTGTGTTAGGCAAGCACTCTGTCTCTGAGCTACATCCCCAGTCCTTGCCAGGGATTTTTTTTTTTTCCTCTTTGGTACCAGGGATCGAACTCATGACCTTGCACTTGCTGAGCAATTGCCAAGGATTTTAAATAGATGACCTTACGTGGTTCTACAACTGATTTTACAAGGGAAGGAGCAGAAGCCTCACCTAATCAGTAATTTGCTTAAGGTCATAAGAAGGAAAGTCAGTTCCAGGACCCAAACCCAGATTAAAAAAAAAAACCCAGACTTAACCATTGTATCACATGAAATCTGTATCCAAGTAGACTAAACTGGGGACTTTTTTTTTTTTTTTTTTTTTTTTCAGTACTGGGGATTGAACTCACAACCTCACACTGGCCAGGCAGGCACTTATGCCGCTAAGCTAAATCCCCAGCCCTTTAAACTGGAGACTTTTAAAAGTATTGGTAAGCTTGTGAATCTTGTTTAAATAAAGTCTAGTGGGCTGGATGTGGTGGTGCATGCCTGTAGTCCTAGCACTTGGAAGGCCATGACAAGAAAATCACATGTGTTCGAAGCCAGCCTGAGCTACATACTGAGTTAAAGGCCAGTCTAAGCTGCACAGTGAGAGCCTGTTGAAAAAAAAAAAAAAAAAGTAGAGTGAAATTTCTATGTGAACTGAAAGGTGGTGTCATATTAAAAGCCAGAACTCCAGGGACTACAGTACTCTTAGAACTCCAGGGACTACAGTCTGAAAACCACTCAGAGCTGGGCATGGTGGTGCATGCCTGTGATCCTAGCACTTGGTGGGGGCACTGAGGCAGGTGGACCCTGTGAGTTCAAGGCCAGTTTGGGCTACATATTGCATTCAACATCATCCTGAACTGCACAGTGAGTCCCTGTCTCAAAAAACAAAAATGAATTTGTCACCTCTTCATAAACCCCTTTTATGCCCGATGGCCTTGGATTCAAGTGTTAAAATTCTAAGACGGAAGGGTTCTGGGTTAAAGAGTCTGAAAGGTGGCTGGCAGCAGACGCTCTGGCCCTTCAGAGAGGGTGGCTCAGAAATTTGGGGTGAGGTCTGAACCCCAAGTAGCCTGGTCTGGGAGCAGCTCTTGCCTCTTTAGCTCACCTGTGCCTCTTTCCTGCTCCCAGAGCTCGGGAACAGGTGCCATTACTTGTCCCCTAGAGCTACTAAATAGAGAAGAGGGGAGAGGGACCAGCAGGTGATGAGGGCAAGGTGGTCTGGGGGCACCCATGCCCAGGACCCAACAAGTCTACTGTCTCCACCCCACCTTCCCCGGATGCAGTGTCCCTCTGAGTGGGGAGGAAGGCCTTACAGGGCAGCCAGGAAAGGGACACGATGCCACAGCATGGCTGAATCCTGCTTGGGCCCGTGGTTGCAGACACCAGGCCATGAGCCCCTGTGCCTCCCAACCCTCAGGCTCTTGGTTCAGCAGAGTCCCTTAAATCAAAGACCTGGGCACCCTCCCCCAAGTCCCAGTGTGACACCTGGCTTACCTTGAGGCACAGGCCGCTGGCTGGAAGTGAGGCGTGCTGGCCTGCCCAGTGGCCCAGCCACCCGCCTGGCCCCCTACAGGGGCTTGCAGCATGGCACCTGGAGACACAGAGGCGGCAGGGCAGGAAACCCAAGCTGAGAGGACATCAATCATTCATGGGGCTGCTCTCTGGGAAACCCTAACCCTGGCCCAGTAGGGCCAAGTGACCAGTCAGGGCCCTCCATGCTTATAGGGTCAGACGGCTGAGCCCTCTCCCCACCCAGGGCCCCTCCAGCTCAGGATGTGCTGTGTGCTCCCCAGAGTCCACTTCCTCCGACAGCACCCTTGCCTCTCAGTCAGCATTTGAGACCTCTGTGCTGTGGCCTCCTTCTGAGTCTCGCAGGCTCTTGGCCCCATCCAGGATGTCACCCCTGGAGAGGGTGGCGCTAGGCTGTAAGAGGCCTGTGCTCATCCCCTGCCTGAGAAGTCTTCCTCGGTGCTCTTTGCTCGGCTGAGTCCTGGCTGTCATAGAGCTGGGCTGAGAATGCAGCTCTTTAGTAATGTTCCCCATCGTATAGATGAGAAAACTGAGACTCAGAGAACTGACTGGGTCTCCTAGCTGAGGAGTGGCCAAGCTGGAGCCTGAAGTTCATAGCAGCAATGGTGTCCTGGCACCCTTTGCTGCTGAGGACTGTTCTGGTGACACATTCAGGGCAGAAGGCAGGGATTAGGTCCTGAGCTGCCTACCTCACTTACCCTAATCGCCCTCAGGGCCTGATCCCAGGCAATCACCTGGAAGACTGGGCACCTAAGCAGCTTTGGGGCTCCTGAGAGCCAAAGGTGCTTGGGGAGCTGTGGCCTCGGTCTGGCTGTGTCTCCCGCATGGCCACAGAGCACAGTCCAGGCTCAGGCCCCAGCTCCCAGAAGCCCCCTGCAGAGGCTGTGTCTCTGGGCAGTGGTGCTGAGGGCCCCCCTCTGGCCAGGAGGAAGAGCAAGAAAGAAAAGAAGTCCCAAGGGTCCCGGAAGGGCAGTGCTGGGGAGCAAACCTCTGTCCAGGATCCTGAGGCCTCGAGGAGCAGCAAAAAGCCTTCAAGGACAGAAGAGAAGAAAGGAGAGCCATCACCAGCGCCCTCTGGGCCAACCTCTCGCCGCCAATCCCACCGGCATCGTTCTGACCCCCAGCAGGATGCTGCTCAGAGGACCTATGGGCCCCTGCTCAACCGCATATTTGGGAAGGTCAGGGGGAACCTGGGCTGGGCTGTGGGCTGGGGGTGGGGTGGGGGTGGAATCCGTGCCTCAGTCTCAGCCCTCCTGCTCCTAACTGCCTGGATCTTCTGCCCTTCTGGCCCAGCCTGGGGGAGCCTACACTGTGGGGGTGGGGCTTAGGCCTCCAGCACAGTGGGCCGAGCTGGGCCTCAGGGTTCTGGGATGCCAAGGAAGTTCTCTGCTGTTGGGGAGTGGCCAGGAGAATGGAACTTTGCCTGCACTGTGAGCTGGCCCTGCGCAGGCCAGCCTAGGCAGGGACTGGAGGAGGAAGGACAGAGCTGTGGCTGGTCTTGAGGACATGCTGGTCCATCTTCCTGCAGGACCGTGAGCTGGGCCCCGAGGAGCTGGAAGGTGAGTGGTTGCTGGGGGCCTGGAGGTGTCCCTGGGCCTGGCCACCTGGTCTGACCTCCCTCCCCTTGCAGAGCTGCAGGCTGCCTTCGAGGAGTTTGACACTGACCAGGATGGCTATATCGGCCACCGGGAGCTGGGCGACTGTATGCGGACACTGGGGTACATGCCCACCGAAATGGAGCTCCTCGAAGTTGCCCAGCATGTGAAGATGCGCAGTAAGTGTCTGAGCCCCACAGGGCGGGGGTGGCCGGCTGTGCAGGGTGGGGCAGGGCAGGCTGGCTCTGGTCCTTTCAGTGCATGGGCACCCTCCTGGTTCAGGGGGCTAAGTGGTGGCAAGAAGGGATTTCTAGGAGTCTTTTGGCAGTGAAAGTGGAAGCAGGCAAGAGTGACAGTTTAGGAGGTACTGGCAGGAACATGGGTCCCGTCAGATGCAGGGATGCTCAGTCCGAGCTCCAGCTGTTGGTGCGGCAAGATGGGCAAGGATGGCTGCAGGGTGATATAGAAGTGGGCTTGGGTTAAGGGGGACCTTGAGAAGCGGGTCTCGCCTCTGTATACCTTCAGGCTTTCCACCTGCCTCTGGTCGCAGCCTCCAGTTCATTGTAACTCGGTGCCAAAGGGCTGTCCCTCTTCTCTCTCACTGTGCCTCACTCACTGTACCCTGGTGGTAGCTGCCTTGGTCAGAGTCACCAGGAATCCAGTCTCCGGAGGCCCAGTGAGGCCTGGGTAACGGAGCCCTGACCTGAGTGCTGAGCAGCCCTTGTGTGGTTATCATTGGCTGGTTTGTCCTGAGGCCAATATCAGATTCCCTTCCTTTTGGGACACCTGTGGTTTTTCTCACAATTTCTGAAATGGGCACAAAGTTTACAGTGGCTGTGGCTATTTGGTGTCCAGCTCCTTTTGTTCACCCCAAAGTTGTTGCCTGGCCACTGGTGTTTTGTGGCCTGCTCACCTGGGGCCACTCTCTGTCCCCTGCTGGGCTGTGAACCCCACAGCAGCATGCAGAGTAGGTATCAGACCCATCCTAGGATGAGAAAAGGAGGTTGATAAGTTACCTAAGGTCATGTGTGTCCTGGTATTGGAACCAGGATTTGAATCTGGGTTGTCTGCTTCGGAGCCTGGCCTCTTTTTGCACACCTGGTCCCAAAGCCCCTCCAGCAGCCCTGGGTTTGGGAATCAGGCCTTCCACTCCTCTGTGGGTGGGGTCAAGGGTGCCTCTTCTGGATGCAGAGCATGGTGGGTGGAGGGGGAGTTGCCTTCCTCTGTGACTTCCTTTCCTGGGTCCACAGTGGGTGGCTTTGTGGACTTCGAGGAGTTCCTGGAGCTGATAGGCCCAAAGCTGAGAGAGGAGACGGCACATATGCTGGGGGTGCGGGAGCTGCGCATTGCCTTCCGAGAGGTGTGGCCTGTGGAGGGGGTGGGCAGTGGGTGGCATGGCTGAAGAGCGTCCTCCCTGGGAGACTGGGGCTTCTGTCTTTAGAAGCCCAGAGCCCTGCAGGTGGAGGCCCCAGGCCTAGGGATGGGCAAAAAGAGTTCAGCTCCTTCCCAGTGGGGACATTTATGGAGCAGCGGGCACCATCTTGGCATAGGAGGATAGGGAAGCCTGAAGTGTGTGGGGCAGGATGGTGGTGGGAGCATCTTGCCTACAGGCTGTGTCAAGAATGGAGTTGGGTACAGAGGCACCTTGAGGTGGTAGTGACTGAGCCCTGCCTGGTTCCTAGTTTGACAAGGACCAGGATGGAAGAATCACTGTGGCGGAGCTGAGGCAGGTAGCACCCGCTCTGCTGGGGGAACCTCTGGAGGGGACAGAACTGGATGAGATGCTTCGAGACATAGACCTCAATGGGGATGGCACCATAGACTTTGATGGTGAGTCCGCTCCTCCTGTCCCTCCAGCACTTCCTGCAGTCCCCGAACCTGGGCTGGCCCAAACCTTGTCCCTCTCTTCCCCAGAGTTTGTGATGATGTTGTCTACCCACTGAGACACCTGCAGGGAGGACCTGTTGTCACTGTGGCCCGAGATACCACCAGGACCAGGCTGCATGCAAGGAGGTTCCAGGATGGCAGAGACCTAGCAGTCCCCAGAATCCTTCTACCCTGGGCAGCGTCTTGCTCTAGAATCTGTCTGTGAAGTCACCTGCCTGTCTTCACCCTCACCACCCACCCACTGCTTGAGTGACCTGGAGAAAATGTATGCTCAAGCATCCACCAGTCCACATTGTGAGCAAGTCCTCGATCTCTCTGCACCCTTGGCAGGTAGAAAGCTCCCTCCCTGGTGCTGGAAGTATTCAAGTAGGGACAATTGGGGGGATCCATAGTAACACAGTGAACTGAGAGGGTGGCCGGCCTCCTCTCACTACTTACACAAAGTGAACTTGAAAGGGAGGAGCCTAGGTCCCAAAGACCAAGGCTGGAGTTGTAGAGGGGGCTGACCCCGAGGGGGTTTCAGATCTGGAGAAAGGCTTGGGGGCCTGGGAGGCCCACAGTCCCATATAGTCTAAATGGCAAGAAATTAATATCTGGATCCATTCCAGGGCCTCATAGTGCTGCCCTGTTCCTGGAAAGGGGAGTGAAAAAACATTTCCACAAACCAGCCTGAGAAGGTTTGAGGGAACAGATATTTAGGGTCTTAAGTGGATATAAATCCCAGAGACAAAAGAAGAGAAAGAGGGGAAAGGATGCTTTAGACATGTGGAAATCTTTTTTTGTTGTTGTCCTAAAGAAAGAGAGGTTGATTAACTTCAGATTTCATTGGCCGACTGATTAGTGGCTGGGCATAGTGCACACCTATAATCTTGCCATGAGGGAGGCTGAGGCAGGAAGATCACTAGGAGTTTGAGGCCATTTTGAGCTACAAAGTGAGTTTAAGTCCAGCCTGAACTAGATAATGAGACCCTGTCTAAAAAAAAAAAAAAAAAAAAAGTCAGAGTCAGCTAGATTTGGTGGCACAAACCTGTTACTCCCAATACCCTGGGAGACCGAGGCAGGAGAATTATAAATTTGAACACAGTTTAAGCAGTTTAGAAATTTAGTGAGACTTCACCTCAAAATTTAAAACAAATGAAGGCTGGGTACATAGCTTGGGGTGAAGATCTTGGATTTCCTCAGTCCCAAAACAAAAAGTACATGCTCATAATCCTAGCATTGAGGAAGCTGAGTCAGGAGGATTGCCTGGAGTTTGAGGCCAATCTGAACTACAAGGCAAGATCCTATCTCAAACAAAGCAAAACAAAACAAACCCTAAAAGAACCAAACAGACACAAAAGGTCAGAGAGCTCTAGTTCCAAAAATAAAGTATCCCTGTTAGGTTGTATTTCTTGTAACAGACACCAAAATAAAACAAATGATGCCTTTACCAGAATAGAAATTTATTTCCACAGTAAGTCTGTATGTGGTGTCTTCTTCAAGGACTCAGGTTCCTGGCTAGCTGTCCTGCCTTCCTAAGGTTTGTCTGTTTTCCTGGTGGTAGGATGGAGGTCAATAAAAAAGAATAAAAGGTTACAGTGTGAAGTAAGGCCACTTATATCCATGAAGCAGAGCGTATCACTTGCCTGCTTGGCAAGGATACTGGGAAATGTAGTCTTTATCTGGAAGGTCACGTGCCCAGCTACACACCAGGGGTTCTCCTACAGGGACAGATACAGAAGGGCAGAGGTCAGGCTCCGTTTCATAGCTGAGTCGAGGTTGTAGGAGACACGCTCAAAGCATATGGCCACTAGAAGGGGAAAGCGATGGCTTGGAAAAGAGACTATCAAGATTAATCAAAAAAAGACGGTACAGAGGGACATGGTGTTTCACAGCTGTAATTTCAGCACTTGGGAGGGTGAGGCAGGGGAGTTCAAAGCCAGGCTGGCCTTCATAGTTAGACATTGTCTCAAAACAAAACACAACAAAAAGTAAGGCACTGTTCCCTAAGGAAATTCTCCTTCCTCTCACTCATCCCTTTTCCTCCCTCTCCTCTCTTCCTCTTCCTCTTCCTTCTTTTCCTCCTTCTCCTCCTTTTTCTTGAGACAGAAGGGTCTTACTGTATGGTTCAACCTGGCCTTGAACTCAAGACCTTTCTACTTTTTTTTTGGTGTGTTTTTGAGACAAGGTCTCACTATGCAGTTCAGGCTGGCCTTGGACTCACTTTGTAGCTCAAACTGGTCTCTAATTTACAATGATCCTCCTGCCTCAGCCTCTTGAGAGCTGGGATTACAGACATGCACCACCACACCCAGCTCAAGATTCTACTTTAGCTGCTAGATTGCTGATATTTACCACTACACCTGGGTTACACCTTCCTATTAATGTATCCTCAAATTGTGATATATACAATATACAATAGATTTACAATATATATTAGAGTTTAGATTGTTATCATTCCCTGAAAAGTGTTGCTGTCAATCCAGACCAGTATTAGATAAATTAGTGAAAAAAATTCAAACCGTGGCTGGGTGTGGTGGCTCACGTTTGTAATCCCAGCACTAGGGAGGCTGAGGCAGGAGGATCATTGTGAGTTCGAGACCAGCCTGGGCCAGCCTGAACTGCATAGTGAGACCCTGTCTCAAAAAAACCAAAAAAAAAAAAAAAAATTTCAAACCATGGGCTGCAGTGTAGCTGGTTATAGAGTTCTTGCCTAGTGGGGAAAAGGGCTGGGTTCAATCCTTTTTTTTTTTTTTTTTTCGTTTTTATTGGTACCAGGGATCGAACTCATGACTGCCTGCTTGCAAGGCAGGCGCTTATGCCGCTGAGCTAAATCCCCAGCCCCCTAGGTTCAATCTTGAGCACAAAAAAAAAAAAAAAAAAAACCACCAAAACCCAAAAATCATTTAAACTTAGGCATTGAGCTAGGTATGATGGGGATGCATGTCTGTAATCCTACCTATTTGAGAGGCTGAGGCCGGAGGATGGCAAATCAAAGGCCAACCTAGACAATTTAGAGACCTTGTTTTGAAATTTTTAAAAGCTAAAAAAAAAAAAAGAAAAGAAAAGCAGGGGCTGTAGTCCAGTGTAAAAATCCTGACTTCAGTCCCCAGTGCTGCCTCCCTTCCCTGCCAAACTTGCCGACCATGGTGGCACACACCTGTAATCCCAGTGCCCTGGGAGGCTGAGGCTGGATTGGAAGTTTAAACTCAGTGCAGGCTATTCAGTGACTTAATAAAACCATCTCAAAATAAACAATAGAAATGCTCAAGAGCCAGGGATTTAGCTCACCGACCTAAGCATCCACCTTGCTAGTGTAGGTTATGAGTTTGATCCCCTGTACCAAAAAAGACAACAAAGGCTCAAGCCCTAGTACTAAGGGGGAAAAAATGTAGAGGGCTGGAGGTATAATTTAGCGCTCCCTGGGCTCAGTCCCCAACACCACACAAAAACAAAACAAACAAAAAACCACCTAAGTACTTTTTTTTTTTTTTTGTCTTTTTGAGACAAGGTCTCCCTATGCAGTTCCTGGTACTGAGCTCACTTTGTAACAAAACCCGAGCATTTTGTAAGTGTTGATATCTGGAGTGGATAACTAGATTGGGAAACTTTTTTTTTGAACCCAGAATCAAACTCAGGACTTTGTGCTTGCCAGGCAGGCACCGTACCGCTGAGCTATACCCCCGGCCCCTACTTTTTTTTTTCTCTAGTAAATATTTCAGGCTTCAAACATCATGTCAGGGTCCACTGAGGTGTGTCACAACTGTTCACTCAATGCTGCTGTTACATTTGTAAAGCAAAGCTGTCATGGTCAACATTTTAAACAAATAGGTGTCAGCATGCTGAAAATTTAATAAACTTCACAAAACATTGAAATTTGGAGCTTAAATAATTTTACATGCCATGAACCCTTGTTACCTTTTATTTTATTTTTGAGACAAGGTCTCACTACGCAGTTCAGGCTGGCCTTGAATTCAAGCCGTCCTGCCTCAGCCTCCATGGTAGCACCATGCCCAGCCTATACTGCTGTCTTATACTTTGAGTATTCCCCACCTATTACAACATAGAAAATCCATGCTGTGGCCTGTATTTGCTGACTCTGGTACATTGTGACTCACCACTTCCGGAATAACTGTTTGGCTGAGGTTGTAAAATGAGAGCTGGGGAAGTAGCTCAGCAGCAGAGCGTTTGCCTAGCATGCTTGAGGCCCTGGGTTCAGACTCCAACACCAAAGATTATGGAATGAGAAAAAGTATTCGTAGTGACTCTATTAACTGCCTGTCTGCTGCTCACTTTTCAATAAAGGAAAAAGACAAAAAAAAATAGCTATTTACTTACTTATTTTTTTGTCTTTTTCCTTTTTATCGGTACCAGGGATCGAACTCACGACTGCCTGCTTTACAAGGCAGGCGTTTATGCCACTGAGCTAAATCCCCAGCCCCTTACTTATTTATTTTTGAGACAAGGTCTTGATATGCAATTCAGGTTGCCCTTGAACTTTTTACGTAGCCCAGGCTGGCCTTGAATTCAAGGTGATCCTCCTGCCTCAGCTTCCCGAGTATAGGGATTACAGGTGTGTGCCACCATGCCCAGCTGTAATTTTTCTTTTTCATGTCTGTTTTGTTTACATTTATTGCAATGTGATTTTGACGGGACTACTCTGAGAATCGAAATGGTGAGCCTGAGTTGGGTGGGTGGCACACATCTGCAATCCCAGCACTTGGGAGGCTTCAAACACAGGCTGGGAAATTTAGTGATTTAAGTGGGATCCCGTCTCAAAATGAACAAGCAAACAAAAAAAATGGGGGCCAGAGATATAGCTCTGCAGGCACAAGTGCCTGCCTGGCAAGTGCAAGGTCCTGAGTTGATTCCTGGTACCAAAAAAACAAAACAAAAAAAAAAAACCCCAAAAAACTGGGGATGTAGCTCAATGCAAAGGCCATGGGTTCAACACCAGTGCAGGTGCAGGGGTGCGTGCTGGGGGGGGGGGTGATTTGGATTCTCTATATTACTGTTTCTTTTATTTTCTTGCAGAAGTGTTGGTCCATGAAAGATGAGGGATGTAAATAGGTTCTTGCCCACAGCTAGTTTGGGTACCACTGGCTAAGGAGTTCTTGCATCCAAAAGGGGCCCCCCAAAGTGTGGTAGTGGGGTGCTGAGGCGGAATGGTTCAGGAGAGTAGGAGTAAGAGGCTTGGGTGACCATTCAACAAACGCATGGGGGTTCTAAAGGTGCCCACCACTCTGGAGCTGGCACTCGGTGGGCGGTCCCTGTCTAGTGGGACTTCAGCTTTCATTAGGAGACGGAATGCTCCTCAGGGGCTCCAGGCCAGGGTCTGGTTCCCCTCTCCTGCTCCTCCAGTCATGGGAGGGGCCTGGTTAAGTTTCTGTCAGTGGCCCACTGGCTGTCTTTGGGCAAGTCAGTGCTTATTCTGTAAAATGGGGTCCCCTCTTGGGCCTCAGGCCCCTCCTCCTTGTAATGGAGTTGAGATCCAGGTTTGGTGATGCACACCTGTAATCCCAGCACTCTAGGAGACTGAAACAGGAGGATCACTAGTTCAAGACCAGCCTGGACAAATTAGTGACTTAACAAGATTCTGTCTCAAAATATAAAACAGGGCTGGGGATATAGCTCAGTGCATAGGACTTGGGCTTGATCCTTGGCACCAAAAAAATCACACGTAAAATGAGATAGATTGAGCTAGTTAGGGATTCCATTACACGGCCTGGGTTCAGGGTTTACCACAAGGCCTGACAAATGGTTGCTATTATGAGCTCAGATTTCTGGGTTCCTAAAGATTCTATTTCTTGGTTCCTGAGATTTGGAGGTATTTCAATTTTCTGAAAATTCAAGATGACCCATTTCTGATGTTCTTGGCTCCAAGTGTTTTGGATCACGGAGGCTCTCTGCCAGGATGCCCTCTGCCCCCTGATTCTCTCAACCTCTAGCTGGGGAAGTAGGGCAGTGGGGGGAGGGGCTGGCCTAGGCCTCCTCCTGGCCCACATTCAGGGCTGACTGGGGCAGCCCAAGGCCCCAGAGCCAGGCTGGAACCAGGATAGCAACCTCCAGGCCCCAGCCCTACGTCATCTGAGTGCCCTTGGCCAGGGCTACCAGGATAGGTGCTGGAGCTACCTTCCTAGGCAGACAGTGTCCTCCGAACCCAGAGCTGGGGGGTAGGGGAGGTTGAAAGCGCCTCTTCTTGTCCTGGCTCTGTCCTTAGAATGTCACGATCTTGAGCAAGTCTCAAGCATCAGAGCTGTCTAAACATTCATGGGGAGGTCAGTGACACCCTTCATTCCCAGGGCTGGGCCAGAAATGGTGGAACAGGAAAGCTTAATTGTCCCTAATGGAATTAACTATCTTTTTATTAGCACAAAGTAACACCCCTGTTGCCCCCAGGCCTGAGAATATGTTAAGGCACAGAGCAAGAGAGGAGTGGTGTTCCCAGTGGGGCCTGCACCCCCAAACTTCCTGAGCAAACTCCCGAGGGGGCTGGCATTGCAACACTCCTGGAGGACCTGATTTTGAGATGGGGCCAGCACAACAGGTGAAGGGTCCGAGGAGCACCCCATGGAGGTGACACAGTGTCCCAGGGCTTGAATCACGGGTGTCTGGCCATCCGGGTGAGGCTCACTTCTCAAAGTAGGGCAGGTAGAAGAACTGGAAGCCTCGGTGGCCCTTCACAGCGCAGTAGATGAAGATCACGTGGTAGACTGTGGGGGTGGAGCCTGTCAGCACTTGAGGCCCCACCCAGTCCCCCAGCCTGCACAGGGGGCCCCCTCTCACCTCCAGGGATCAGCAACAGGAAGCCTGGCACGAAAAAGATGGCGCTAGAGACACCTGCTGGGGGGAGAGGTGGTGGCTCATGGGGGGAGGCTCCGAACCGCTGGGCCAGCCTCCTTCTGGGCTGAAAGAAGTGGATTCTTTCTGGGAGGGGGCTGGTTTGCCAAGGACCTGTGGGCACAGGTCGGGAGTGCTTACCTGGCGAGGGGGCCACCTCCAATCCCACGCCGACCAGGATCAGCACTGCACAGAGATGGGGCCACCATTGGACGGAGTCGGGGAGGACTCTGGGTGAGGGCTGGGCTTTCCACCCCCAACCCCAGACTAGGCCTGAGCAGAGACCCCGCCCACCTCCCTAGGAAGCTCACCAAGCTCAGTGTTTTCAGAGCAGGGCACTTGGAGACCCTAGTACATGTTTGTGAAAGAAGAGACTTCTGCTCCGGTATGGGCTTAAGTCATTCAGTAAACACTTATGGAACCGGTCCTGCACAACTGGTATTGCGAATTCCATTGTGAAAGGCAGGTATGCCCCAGGCCCTGTGGCTCTTGCTTAGTAAAAGCATCACCAAGAATTCCAAGGCTATAATGCAGGTGATCAGGATATGGTGTGAGAGGCCAGAGGACCACAGAGGGGCTGCATGGGGGAAGTGACATCTACATGGAGAATGGGCCACAGTGACAAGAGCAATCATGGTTGACTCTGACTCTGTTCACCAGGAATGCCAGGCAACAGGCTAAGCATGTTGCATACACTGTCTTATTAATCACTCTGACAGAAGGAATCAGGCATAAAAGGAAACTGAGGCACAGACAGGAAGTCACTTTGCCAAGACTGTCTGACTTTAGAGGCTTTGCTGTGGGCATCCTCAGGCAGACAGAATTCTAGACCCAACATGGCAAAGGCCCAGAGGCCGGAGGGAACTGGACCTGTCTAAAAGGACAGACTGGGCAAGAAGAGATTAGGCTACAGGAATCTGGTAGGGCCTGGAGCCCCGGGCAAGGATGACTGATGTTGGAGAAGCTAAAGAGGTCAGGTAGGGTCTGCTTTTCAGACCCAGACTCCTGGGTCCACAGTTATAGGAAGATGGGGGGAGATACAGCAAGGGGAGGGATACAGCCTGGAGGCTTAAAGGGCCACCACGTGCTTTGTGTGCAGCAGAGTACTCCAGAAAGGGACCCAAGCTCACTCCTTGCACCCTGACTAGGGCTATGTGCTCTGCCCTCTCAGAGGAGGCATCTTTAATTCCTGCAAGGGCTCCTGGTGGCTCCCAGGCTTGTAGCCGTGAATGTGGGTTTAAATCCCAGCGCACCTACTTCCTAGCTGCAGCTTGAGAAGCCCCTCTATCAGCAAGTGCCTCATGTCCTTATGTAGAAGCTGGAATGGTGCCACTTCGTTGGGCTGAAGAGAGTGAGTGCCCATGGCCAGTGTCACTGGTATCTGACATGCAGTGGTACTGGGCAGCAGTAGCTTCCTCGAGCCCCGGACACCTAGAGCTGGGGTGGGGCTTTCTGGCCCAGGGAGCCTGGCTGGCTTTGACTTTCCTGAAGATGGGAAGAGGGGGAGCTAGAGCAGAACCACAGCTAGTCCTTCTTTAAAGGGCCTTCTTCACCACAATCCTAGATCCTCCCTGGGACCCTGCCTCCTCTGTTCCACAGGATGACGAGCCTGGCAGTCAGAGACATCTGGCTATGAGACTGGCCTGCTCTAGACCTCAGTATTCGCATCTGAGCAATGGAGGAGGAAACAAGTCCTGGTCAGCTCTCAGACTCCAGAAAGAAGAGGAAGTGACCAGCCTCTGGATGGAGCTAGCAGGTGCTCAGCATCCTGGTCACAGGGACACCCACAGCTCTCAGCACCTGCCTCTATACACAGGTTCTAGGCCCTGCCTCTTATTTAGTGAGTGACCTTTGTAAAGCTAAAGTGGACACAGAATAAACAGCAGTAACTGTTTGGTCTCCTGATGGATTAAGCAGGTTAAGCTTTAAAGAGTCTTCAGAGCACTGGTTCAGGTTCTGTTCTGTGGTCTGTGTAAATGGCTGACTAGGAGCCTGGGTTTGTCCTTCTCAAACCCTCACCTGTAACTCTCGAGATGCTCACTGAACCAGGGGGAAACAGCCTACACAGAAGGAGGGAGGGGAGGCCACGGCCCTCAGGGTACTCACCCAGTCCCAGCAGCAGGAGCAGGAAGGAGGCCAGCACTACCCTGCAGTTCTTCTGGATGAGAGGATGTTGGGTCCAGCTGGGTGGGAGGAGAGCAGGGTGAGTACAAAAAAGGTGAAGGGGGGTGGGGTGGGAGAAGTGTCATGGCTGATTGGCCAGTAGTACTCAGAGTCTGGGACTCATTCTAAGAAGGTCTCACCTGCAGCAGGCATTGTAGGAGCGCTGGGTGGTGCTGCTGATGGTACTAAAAGACCACTGGGAACTGCGGATGGATGTTCGGCCAGAATCCCTGCAGGACAGGCCCAGTGAGGGGCAGGGGGAAGCAAAGAAGGAGATCCTGAAGAAGTATGTATGTGGATGGGTGCAGGGTCAAAGGATGGCCCTTCAAAGGACTGAGGGCTCAGAGAGGGCACAGGGAATGATGCATTCAAAAACGGGAGTTCTGCAGGGCTAGGGGTGGAGGAACACTAGGAATGAAAGCTAGGGTTTCCTGCAGCACAGATGACCTGTAGGGAGGCAGGGGAGGGTAGGCCAGGCCAGGTTAAGGGTTCCTACAGCATTAAGATCTGGAAGGGGTTGGGGGAGTGGGGAGATCAGGCACTAGGGTAAGAGGATGAGCATGCTGGACAGGAGACCCCAAGATGGGTGTGGAGCTAGGAATCCTTACAGGACAGAATAGGAGAGCTAAGTGTACTGGGATCATGCACTGGTAAGCCCTTGTGGACAGAAACTAGGGCCATGGAGCTCAGGGTACAGGATGGGTCCCCACCTGGCCCTGACCTGGTGCAGACTCCCCCATCTGGTTCCGGAGAAGGCTGGGCTACATCTTCATCATTCTGCAGGTTCTGTTCCAGAACACAGGGTTCAGAGGGGTGGCTGGCCTCAGGCCCTTTCTCACTCCCCTCTTGGGGAGACTGGAAAGCTGTTTTTCTGGCCACCTGGCAGCTGCTCACCTGGCCCTCCACCCTCCCAGAAGAACGGGTTTGATGATTCATAGAAACCGAAACCCAGGTAGGAATGGTAGGGGAATTGGACAGCAGGGGTCAGAAGGAGTCGGTGGAGGGTTCCCTGGGGTAGGTGACCTCTGAAGTTCTGAGGATGTCATTTCAGGGGCCCAGCAAAGTAGCTTTGGATTAGGGGTGGTAGGGAAAGGCCCAAAATTCCCAGGTTAAGGGCACAGGAATCTGGTATGGGTGCCCAGAAAAAGGATTCTAGTAGTGGTGGCTTCCTGGGAAAATGAGGATTTCCTGTTCAGTGGGAGTCAAGGGACGTGAGCAGAGTTGTCATGAGCGGGAGCCTCCAGCTCAGAGGAAATGGGATGCGGACTTCAGAGCAGAAAAGGAGATACATGTTCCTAGATTTCAGAGATGCTCTGCCTGGTTCTGATATAGAAGGGCTCTCCAAGCCTTTGGGGGCGAGGGCTCAGCCCCCAGGATGCGCGGGACTCCAGGAGAGCTCGCCACTGTGGCTGGGAGATGAGCTCCCAAGCAGCAGAGCCGGTCTCTCCAGGGCTGGCTGGCTCCAGAAATCAAAGCTGACCGGGTCTGAGCACGGATCTGGATCGGGGGGGGTCACATCGAGGGCGGTCTCCCGCTCCAGCTGGGGCCTCTAGGCAGAGTCTCCCCCAGCTGAGGTTCTCCAGGGCCCGGCCTGGGGCAGGGGTGAGGTGGGCCGGGCCCTTCACCTGATAGCGTAGTCGGGACTGCTTGTCTTCGTCAGCAGCCTCGAACCGAGCCCGGCGCTCGAAGTGCAGCGGCCCGAAGCGGGCCGCCCCGCTGGACTCTGGCCCAGGACCCGCGTCCTCCAGGGACAGCTCGAAGGCGTCATCGATGCTAAACTGGGACCGGGCGGCGCTCATGGCCCCCGCCCGCTCAGACGCCCTGCGCCGCCGCCATCTGCGCTCACCGCCCAGGGGGCCGCGGCCCCGCCCCCACGCGCGGGTCCCGCCTCCGCGCCGGCGCCTCTGGAGCCCGACTGGCTGGCGCCCCGGCAGAGGCTCCGCCCCTCACAACGGTCCCGCCCCTGCCAATCCTCTCCAGACCAGAACTGCCGAGTGCCGAGCCGACTGGTGGCAGGGCTGCTTCTTGACTGGAGCCGGCCAGGCCCGCGGCGCCGCCCAGCGGCCACCTCGGCAAGCGACCGCCGGTGCCGCGCTCCTTTGCGATCCTCAGGCCCCACGTGGTCTCAAAAGGCCGGGGGAGCTCCAGTAACCCAGACCCGAGAGGCGAACTTCCCAGCCCGATCCTCCAGTGCCAAAGAAAACTGCTGGAACAGACGGTTTACCCACCGCACCAAGGCCCTAGGTGGGTGGGTGTTTTTTTTGGCGATTTAGCAGATGTGGAAACTGAGGTTCAGAGTTTATGTGACTTTCACAGTCCTCCAGGCCAGTCTCCATACAGCAATAAAAGTGATCTTTTGAATTATATCTTTTTCTATCTGTGTTACACACACACTTGTGTTGCTCTTATAGACAGCTAAATAAGGTAGAAATATATTAGGCAGTCAGACAGGATTGGGCCCTCCAGGGAATAGGTGCAGGTGAGAAGGCATCAGGGCTGGAGGCGCATTTGAAGATTAAGGTCACAGTGGCTTGTTTTTACATACTTCCCTTGCCGGAGGCTTGGTGTTAACGGTATCACCCTTTTAAGATTTCCAAGTTCTCTCGTTAGGGGCGGGCTATACTCTCCCGTACACCAAAACTAAGACTAACATTAAGACTGCTAAAATTAAGAGAAGACTCCTGTACCCTTGTTACCACTGGGTCAACATTACCTAAGCAATTATACTTGCAATCTTACTGGTTGATCATAATTGTGACCACATAATACCCACCTCATGATTTTGCTTTTTTTTTTTTAATCGGTAATGAGGATTGAACTCAGGACTGCCGGCTTGCAAGGCAGGTGCTTATGCCGCTGAGCTAAATCTCCCACCCCTTCATGATTTTGCTTTAAAACTTTCTTTGAGATGTAGGCTCATTGGCAACCCATTCAGGAACCCACCTGTCTCTCACGAACTCTTCCTGCTCCTGATTCCCCCATCCCTATTCCCATTCCTGTTGTCCAACATATTTTCCTACTCTTAACCTCCGTTGTTCCTTAGAATTCATTCTTCATCATCCGGGTACATGCACTTGGCGTATTTGACAGCCAGCATTTCTCCTATATCAATTCCGGTGCTTGGGAGACTGAGGAAGAAAGACCGCTGTGAGTTTGAGGCCAGCTTGGCCTATATGATGAGTTCAAGGCTGGTCTGAAATACATGGTAAGACCCTGTCTCAGACAGAAACAGCTTTGTGTACTTCACACATTCAACCTCCATCACTAAAAATAAATAAAATAAAAACTCCGTTAAAACTTTGCTTAAAACTTCCAAGAGTTTTCTATGGTAGTTAGAATAAATTCTTAGTCCTTGGCTAAGGCCCACAGCGCTCTGAATGTCAGATGCCTGTATACCTCTCCCACCCTCAGGTACCCCTCCTTTTCCACCTCATTCAACCACACTACACCCTATTATTTAGTGTAATAAATAAGTAAATATTTGTGGCAGGAATGAGTGGGAGGCCTGCTAGAGTCCCAAAGGCTTGGAAATGGCAGAACTGAGATTTGAACCCACATTCTCCCAGCTCCCAGAGTATCTGTCCTCCTTCCTCACAAATCTTCCATAGGCCTAGCTCATATCTGGCTCAGGGCCTTTGCACATACTGTTGCCTATGCCTGAAGTCACTTAACCTTGCTATTATGCTTCAGAGTTAAATGTTCCCCAAAGTCCCATGTGTGTAGAAGGTGACTGGATTGTGGGGGTGCTATGGGGATTCATCCACTGATGAGTTCAGGAGCTGAAGGTGCTGTGAGGAGAGGGGGCCCAGTTGGAGCTGGGTCACTGGAGGCGTGATGTGGAAGGGTATGTTCTCCTCCCGGCTCCTTCCTTCTCTCCCTGCTTCCTGGTTTCCATGGGGCGAGCATGTTGTCTTCTGCTGTGCCCCTCTACCGTCTCATTTCTGCCTTGGAGTCAGTCAGCCATGGACTGAAACTCTGAAAAGAAATCTCCCCTCCTCTAAGTGGTGGGTGTCAGGTTTTTTGTCCCAGCTACAGGACAGTGACTAAGACATCTGGTCTTCTCACTAAGACCTGTGCTTTGCTCACAGTCAGCTGCTTCCATCAGCTGTGCCCCTTCCCTGCCACTCAGTCCATTACTCTTCAATCTTAAGTCACTTTTCTCATCTCACTGGAAATTTTTGTCTGGGCTGTTTTATTCACCACTGTATCTACAGTGCCCAGAGGTATATTTACCAAAAGGAAGGAAGGAAGGAGGGAGGGAAGCAAGGAAGGAAGAAAAGAAAAGCCAGGCATGGTGGTGCATGCCTATAATCTCAGCATTCAGGAGGCTGAGGCAGGAGGATCATTGTAAATTCAAGACCAGCCTGGGCTACAAAGTGAGCCCAAGGCCAGTCTGAACTGCATAGTGAGACCCTGTCTCAAAAAAAAAAAAAAAAAAAAAAAAAAAAAACAAAAAAACAAAACAAAACAAAAAAACAGAAAAGAAAAAAGAAAAGAGTGCTTTGCCAGAGTCTCAAAGGTTCGGAAGTGGCAGAATGGAGATTTGAACCCATATCCTCTCAGCTACTTGGGTACCTGTCCTCCTCTACTTTACCCACTCCCTCACTTTGTGATCTGTCTCGTTCTGTGAAGTGGCTGTGACAACTCTAAGGCCCCTCTTGAGCTGTGAGCCGCGTTGATGTTAACACACTTTCCTCCCTTCACATCTGTCACCCTTCCTCTCCCCCTCTGTCAGACCTCACAGCAGCAAGCTCAGCTGAGCCCTGCCTGGCCTGCACCTCACATGCCTGGTCCCCTAAGTGTGTTTGCCATTTACAGACACTGTGTCAGTGCAGCAAACTCATTCGCTGTTTACATTTTTCCACTCAGCACTAATGCTTTCCACCAGTATCTCAGTGGTTTTTTTTCTACTAGCTGGTTATACTACTACAAGCTTCTAGCACTTTTTGGGGAAGCCTGGGCAGGGGATTGTTTCAGTACTGGGAACTGAACCTAGGACTTTCACTTTGACCTACATTCCCAGCACTTTTTAAATTTTTTCATTTTGAGAGTTTCACTAAGTTGCTAAATTTTCCAGGCTGAGCTCAACGGTTTTTTTTTTTCTTTTTTATATCAGGAATTGAACTCAGGACCTTGTGTTTGCCAAGCAGGCACTTATGCCACTGAGCTGTATCCCTGGCAGGGTTTCAAATTTGAGATCTTCTTGCCTTATCAGCGGATCCCAGAGTGCTGAAAGTATAAACTTTGCTTTTTTTTTTTTACCGGTACCAGGAACCACGACCCCGCACTTGCAAGGCAGGCGTTTATGCCACTTAGCTAAATTCCCAGCCCACAGAACTTTTTTTTTTCTATTTTTTTTTGTCTTCTTTTCATTTTCATTTTCATTTTTTATTGGTACCGGGGATCGAACTCACAACCGCCTGCTTGCAAGGCAGGTGCTTATGTCGCTGAGCTAAATCCCCAGCCTCCGCCCACAGAACTTTTATTTTCACCTCATGCTCACAGTGATCACATCAGGTCAGTCCCATCACCACCATGCACATCTTGCTTCTGTTCCCTGCGAATAGTGGGAGAACCTTCTTGGGGTAGGATTTCTGGCCCATGGGGGATCTATCATAGTGTGTGTGTGTTTACTACACCGAAATCCCACTCTGCTACCTGAGCAGCTCACAGGATTCATAAACTCAACCCCAGTAGAGGATTAAAGGGACTAAGTTTAAAAGAGAAAACAAAGACATTTTATTTGCAAGAGCGGAAAGGCGGGGACAGAAAGCTGCCCTGTGCCAGAGAGTAGAGGGTCTGGAGCACGAAAACCTGAGGCCCTTTGTTCTTGGGTGCTTTTATTCATCCTGGAGCTGTCATGACCTGACTGATTGGCTGTCCCAGGTCCTAGGACCCCAGCCCCTGCACCATCATCTATGTGCACATTTTTAAGTGAGCTTCATTTGGTTTTCTTAGTCCTATCAGAAGTTTATTTTGGGCTGGGGATATCAACAGTACCCAAAACAAAAACAACAAAAAGTTTATCTTTAGCATTTATTGGCTGGCTAGAAGAGGACTTATATGCAAGGCCAAATTAGCAATTAAAGGGCTAGCGTACTATTAGAGTGGTCCTACAGGGGAGTGTGTGTGTGTGTGTGTGTGTGTGTGTGTGTGTATTTTATCTTCAAACGAGGGCTACCCCTTGCCTTTGCATTTTATCAGAGGAGAGTGCGAGGCAGCTACCTTGATTTGGAGCACCTGGCTTCCCCTGTTCTCTGCTTGTGTGCTTGTCTGCTAGTCTTGTTGATTGCTTTCTCCCGGGATGCTTTAACTCTTGTCATCAGGATTACCTCTTCCCTGTTTAGAGACCCCTTTCCCTACACCCTCCTGGCTTCCTGAAGCAGGTGGATGCTGTCCTGAGTGGACCTGTGACTCCCCGCCTAGCTCAAGGGCACTGACTTTCTCAGCACTTAGGACACCCAAGGCCTGCTAGTCTAACTAATGTTGGTCCTTTCTTCCTCCTTCCCTTTTTCCTTTTCTTAGCCTCCCCCCACCCACCATTCTCCTACGCTCTTTTCTCTGTCCTTTCTTTCTCTTCCTCTGTCCCTCTCTTCATCTCTGTCTTGGGTACTTTTCTCTTTCTTTTTCTTTTTTTTTTTGTCTTTTTCCTTTTTATCGGTACCGGGGATCGAACGCATAACTGCCTGCTTACAAGGCAGGTGCTTATGCCACTGAGCTAAACCTCCAGCCCTTGGGTACTTTTCTTGCATTGCTGGGACAAAATACTCAACACCCAAAATGAAGGAAGGAAAGGTTGATTTAGCTCACAGTTTGTGGAGGTTTCAATCCGTAATCAGCTGGCTTCAAGGCAGGGTGGCATGGCACAGGGGCAACACTTCAAGGC